AACTAAGTCCCAGTAACACGAATAACTCGAGGACGCGACGACGGGAAGCCAAGACTGTTTGACAAAGGAAAGAACGGACAGTTGTACAGGCAAAAGTGTGGTTCGATGTATAGCCCGTTACACGCACTCAAGTGTTAGTCATGGGCCCTCTGGCCCTGAGGTGCTCTTAAAGGAAATGTTTTATAGCTAGGGATATTGAAGCAAGCATCATATATGATGGAACAAGCTCACTTATAACTTTTGGAATACTTTTAAGTAGAAAAACTGCTCTGGACAACACAATTTTGCTGCTTAGTAAATTTGCTCCTCGATGCGTCGTTGTTTGATTGCGTTATCGTGCACTGCGTAGGTCTACTGCTCTCTCTACTATCAATGTCGAGCCTTGCATGCCTTTGATTGAGAGCCAATTGACGGCCGTTATATTTGGAAATCGTACACATGAACGCCAGATATGAACGACTCAACCATGAGTTTGCTTTGGTCTTCATCATCGCACGGCTTATATAGAACGGCAGGATTTGAATGACATTTTTATGGCGTCATGAAGGCCAAGGTAACTTTGATATACTCTCCCACATATTTGCGGACTTTATCATACGCCCGGGTGGCCGGTTGGATATCCTTCGCTCGGATGGGGGTAAATTTGATCCGCTGAGCTGTCAGAAACTAAGAGAGCTAGAGACACCAAATCCACACGGTGCATTGGCCTGTACATGAACTCAGTTATAAATTGGAGGCTCGTAGGTCATGACTTTTGGGCCAAACAAGGTCAAGTAAGCCCGAACTCCAAGGTTTGTCTCTAATGTGCCCCCAGAACCTGCTCCTGTTCTAAGCAAAAGGCAACATGTTCATTTAAGGTCAGTGACCTTGTTAGGCCTTTGGAAGGTCATGGTTGCCAAAATTGCACAAGACCGCTTTAAGCCTTGTATCTGAATATGATTACGCTAGGCAATATGTTCTTGAAACCAAAATGGTGACCTGGGTCATTTTAGGTCAGTAACATGTTCTGACCTTTGAAAAGCCCTTAGAAGATGTATAATGCGGATTACGTTGTCAATAAAATCGAAATGAGCACCAGAAAGTACCCAGCACAGCAAACCTTAGAGTAATTTGAAATGCAGGTTGGTTTTGACCTTGGTCTGACCTTCATACATGAGCCTAGGTCAATTAAATTTGTTCGTTCAATTGGTATGTTGCCTAAGAAAGTACCTCAGGGATGTATGACTTCGTCTGACACTCCGTTGTTGCATCAGATTGAACGATTCCTTCGAAACTGACTTCGCTGAATCCATGGCCTGACTTTGACCTGCCGTAGGTCAGCGACCTGACAAGGTACGTTTAAAGTTTTGATACTGCACGGCCCGCTGTTTAATTGTCTATAGATATACAAATTTTCCCGCGGCTACGCCGCGCTGCTCGTAAACTATTTAGGAAAACCTTGGGGAGGGGGGCAAATTGACCCCCACCCGAGCGCGTGTTAAGCTCAGGAACCAGGGGCTTTAGGTCTTAAAGGGGGCATGGTCGTGAGCTACATCGAAGGGTCTTCAACATGACCGTTTCAGTTCAAAACCCCATTTAAATGTGGAACACCCCCGTTAAGGACGTAAGTCACATCGGCAGGCGTAGAAAATGGAGGATTGCATGGCAAATTGTTTTTAAAACAAATGCGCGTATCACGACTGCACATATCACAACTGCGCGTATAACAGCCGCACGTATCACAACTGCACGTACGCAAAAGGTCACAGGCAGATGTTCGTAATCGCAAATGCCCGTAACGCAGATGTTCGTGATCGCAAGTGGTCATAACGCAGATGTTCGCAAACGCTAATACACACATACGCAAATGCCCGTATTGTAAATGTTAGCATCGCAGATGTTTGTAAACACTCTTTGTCCTTTGACTGATGAGTCCTTTGCACTGATGTTTGTAATTGCAGATGTTCGTAACGTAGGTGTTCGCGACCGCTAATGTACATATTCACAAGTGTTCGTATTGCAGATGTTCGCAACCGCACATGTTGGCAATAGCAGATGTCGTAAGCGCAGAATCGTCGTATCTGGTCATGGTGGCTTTGACCATCCGCTATAGGAACATTAGACTTTACAAATGTTAACAGTTCGAACGATAGTGACACGTGTTTTAGTCGTAAAGAGTCGACGAACAATTGCGGTACGAACATTTACACTTACGATCATCTGCTTCACGAAGATCTCCTAAACGTACAAACGCTCGTTCATCAAAACGAAGACGTAAAACTAACTTCAGCATGCAAGTAAATATATCGTATGCGAAACAATGAGAGAACCAGACACTGTTCGGCCGATATTCAACTAAGAAATGGACCAGGAAGAGCCAGGATTAGCTTTTTGAGACTCATCGGCATTGGTGTCGATTTGTATCCTTTTGGGTGGTCTCCTGTTCCTCCCCCAAATGTCCAGTTCGGCCCCCCCCCCAACGGTGAGTTTGGTACCCAAACCTTCTGGAGCCTTCGGACAAGCAGGACATTAAAAGTATAACCTCGAAATTATGTTCATTTTTACGGAGGTTCCTCCAAATTGTTTCACAGGTAAAAGCAACAAGGAAAATCAGAGCTGCGATGTTGCGTCCAGTTGGGTGTAGCTGACTGAACTACCCACGTTTTTACAGCTCCACGCTCATATCATGCTTACTCGATCATTTTCCGAGTTTTTTTTTTCTTGCATGCTGTACGCTTTTAAATACACTGTTGACTCTGGTTGTCTTCTTGACTCCGGTATAGCCTTGTGCTAGTGCCCGAGTGTTTTGGCATTATTCAGCGATGTATCAAGTTTCAGGCGCCAGCGAATTGCGTTGTTTTCTCACGTCTTATCGGAAAATGGAAGCAAAGCAATCGAACATTAGCACCCAAAACGCGATCAAGTTACTGGCCGTCTACGTTCCGAAGGCCCCTTGAACTGCTCCGACCTTAACTTCGACAAGACAGTTCTGTGGAACAGTTACGGAAACCTAACGATGGACACCAGCCGACTAAACCGATAGGCAATCGTCCGACAACGCCCAACAAACCAACACTTGCCGTGGTGAACACGCCTAACGCGGGTGCTACGTTGTAGTCTGCACCTGGCCTCGCTGCTAACAGTCGGGGTAGGCGTGGCAACCTTCGATGGCCACCCACAACTTGCACTTTTTATGCCACGTCCAACATCTGGAGCTAGATTATCCGAAACTGGTTTTGACGATCGACGCCTAGTAATGTGATAATGATGCCCATTGACTATGTCTTTCGCCGAGACAGAGCAAATAAACCCATAAGAGCAGGACCTTTTTCCTATTCATTTGGTTCATGAGAATTCATTTGGTTCATTTTCCTGTTCATTTTGGGATGCTTTTTTTAGTGCGTTTTACACGCACCCAGGTGTCCGGTTGGATACCCTCCGCTCGGGTGGCGGGTGGGTGGGGATGGGTCAATTTGACCCCGCTGAAATCTCAGGAACTAAGAGAGCTAGAGACACCAATTTACGGGGAGTGTTGGCTTGTACGTGAACTCATTTAGGTAAAAGTTTGAGATTCCTAGGTTATGACCTTCGGGCCAAATAAGGTCAAATAGTCAAACTCCAGGTTGGTCTACAAAGTGCTCCCAGAACCTAGATGCCTGAGCTAAGCAAAAGGGCACTTGCTTATTTAAGGTCAGTGATCTTATTTGACATTTCGAAGGTCATTGTGACCAAAATCATGCAAGACTGCTCTGAGTTTTGCATTTGAATAAGTGACAAAGATTACGCTAGGCTGTACATTCTTCAAGCTAAATGTTAACCTGGTTCATTTTTGGCCACTGACGTATTCTTATCTTTCAGAAGCCCATGGAAGATGCGTAATGCGAGTACTGTTTGCAATGAATTCGAAATGCACACCAGAAGCTATCCGATACAACAGGCTCTCGAGCGATTAAACAGGTTGGTTTGGACCTTGGTCTATTCTTTACATCCAACCCTAGGTCAATGGAATTTGTTCATTCAATTGTCGTGTCGCCTGGGAGCATCTCAGAGATGTATCACTTCGTCTAACACCCCGTTCTTGCATCAGATTGAACGATTCCCTAGAAATTCACTTCGCTTAATTCATGGCCTGACTGACCTGCTGTAGGTCAGCAACCTTACAAGGTGTACCTGATTTTTGATACCAAACGATCCGCTAATCAATTGTCCAGTCAAATTCTGGCGTGACCATTTTGTTCGGAAACCGTTCCGGAAAAACCTTCGGGGAGATCAAATTGACTCCTCACTAGAGCGCGTGTTAAGGTTCGGTTTTCCCCACTCGTTCCTCAGGTCCTTTTCTGCAAAGCTACACCCCAGTGACACGCGACGGATTCGCCACCAGATTACTCCAGTCAGGTCTGTGACCTAGGGCCCATTTCCCAAGCGGGGAAACACGACCGAGGCCGGGCATCGAGCTTCGCATTGGTTGGGCCCGGGCCAATAAGAGGCCGCACCGGTTACGGGACCACGGGACCAAGTGTTTTTATTCGTTCACGTGATGTTCATACGGACAATCTGCTCAATGATGGTGTATCTGTTCTACCTCATAGAGCAAAATTCGCATTTCGTTCCGCTATTCATTGTTTCCAAGGTTGGGACTGACCTTCCTTGAAAGGTTGTGAAGACCACCATGAATGACATCTTTACACAATGACAGCATAGCGATATGACAGCAACATGTGTGACAGCGAATAACGTCCGTGCATCAAAGCCGTTGGCTGTGGTATTTGCCTCGCATCGATGGGCGTGCGCGTTGGCGACGGCGCTGGCCGGTTGACAATGCTTCAGGTGTTCGTGTGACGAGGGCTGATGATGGTCGTGTGACAGACTCGCCGCAATGACGGTTGTTCTGACGACTTTTATCCACTCATTCCAGGCCATCTGCTGACAGACTTGACACCATTTCAAGGCATTCTCAACCAAAGTAAGTGAATGACGCATTCGCCTTAGACCGGGAGGCAGCCAGCGCAAATAACGCAATCCTCCCTTCCACTTTGTATTCATTTGCACTCGTGACATTCGGATGTTGAGCTCGACTTTACGCAGCACCACCGCTTGCTCCGCCCCGGCGTTTTTTCCGCTTCATTTTGCCGCGTCGGACGGCGACTGCCGGAGGCGCCACCGCCTCCTCCTCCCCACTCCCGTCCTCGTCGTCGCGTGACGTCACCAACACGTCATCGGTGACGTCGACGCGGACGGTGGCGTCCTTGCCGGGCCGGCGGGCCTTGTGTGCCTGCTGCTGGTCCTTGCGGTGCACGTACTTGTGCGCCAGGGAGAGTTTCAGCATGCGCCGCCGCTGTGGGACGGACACAGGCTCTCGTCAGCTGGCACACCGGCTCCCACCGCGCAGCAGGCAGCGCGCCAGAAGCCGCCGGCGCTTCACACCTCCCGACACGTCACACGGACGCGGGACATCAGCAGCTGTGACGCCGGCTCCCACCGCGCAGCTGGCAGCGCGACAGAAGTCACCGGGGCCTAAGCCCGCCATTCACGTCACAGGCGTGTTCTGACGGAAGCACAGCAGCAGAACCCGAGTGCAGCAGTCGGCGATTACAACCTGAGCTGCGTATCCGCCTGACCGGAACCGACATGCCTCATGAGCCATGGCGCAGGGCAGGACCACACCAAGGCAGGACTTCCAGATTCTCTGCAGACGTGCACCGAGCGACGTGTTGAACAAGCGACGCTGATGAGGTCGCAACAAATATTGAAAACACAAGGATCTGGTACGAGACAATGCTGAAGAGCCATGCGATTGAATAACTACAGCACCAATCATACTTGTGACAGTGCTGCAGCCAGGCAGATGCCGACCATACCTACTCCACTATGGGTGTGCGTGCGCGCGCGCGTGGGTGTAAGCGTACGCGCCTGCGTGCGATTGGACCTTAAGACGCACTCAGTTGCTGAGGCTATATGGCGTTGTCTGCCTCTCACCCCAGCAAGAAGGCGGGTACCGCGGGGAATCACACCCGTACCACCGGTTCCCCAGACACGCGGTGGTTAACACATACACGTTAACCACTACACTGTCGGCACACTTCTTCACTGCGGGACGTAAAGCTCAAACACCGGACTTCCTCCCAATACACCAGACATCCCCCCAATACTTCTCCCCAATTCCCTCCCAATACACCATAACACATAGCCAAAACAGGATAGTGCACACATTTCAACAAGCTCCGTGACTCAGCCCGAACACTATACATCACGCGCGTCCCCGTGACAGCGCACGTACACGGGGAGGGGACCACAGCGCATGGACCTACCGATGCGGGCGAGATAAAGTGAGGGTTCTCCCAGATTTTCTCTCCCTGGAAGCTGCCCGCGAACAGCTTGATGGGGTTCAGCACGAAGCGGGGGCCAATCTCGGCCAGCGCGCCCGTCTCCTGCACGATCTGGTAGTTGCGGAACCAGATGCGCTGGTCTAGCCAACAGAACGTCATCACGTGGTCGATGAATGGCTGCGACTTGGGGTGCAGCTTGGGCGTGCCGAACACCTGCGGGATGAAAACGATCAGAACTGCAAACAGCCAACCATCTCAACAACAGCGGTGCAAGGTAAATCAACCACACATTCATCCCCTTACAATTGTCCTTTGGCGACAAACCGACGAGACCTGAATGACAGAAAGTTAAATTTTTTACTTCCAGTTATGGAACCAAGAGAACTGGAGTGGACGGCAACTTCTGCATGTATGTGAGGGTGTGGTTTTCCATAGCGTCTAGTAAATGCTACAGTATTGTCAGGATAACAGAACCCCGTGACACACAGACATATGAATGCCAAAACACGCTAAAGTTTAAAGGCAGTGTGCCACCCTTTTTGTATTTCCAACTCATTGCTAGACCAGACGCGTCCGCTTTGCTCGATAATACCAGTTTTCTCGAAATCCTCCCGAAAAGCCCATTATTTCAATTTGAAGTAGCCGCTCCTGCGGCACAAGTCTCACTTTATTTCCCGCTCGCCACTATGAAAGTAATGCGTTTCATTTACCTTGCCTTTTCCAACGGATGCGTTCTGTTGTTTGCAACACACTAATTTGTCAAAATGCTTGTGCAATAAATGCCACGAAAATTTGGAACACTTATTAGAGAAAAAGGCACGCCGAAACAAGAATTTTCTCCCGCGAACCCAACAAAACGTAACGCTATGACTTTGACTTCTACCCGTTGAGAGCGACTCTTTTCGAGGCGCACGTTTGCTTTGAGAATGCAAGTGCACTTGCAGACCGCCGTGCAGATAACAAACATTCATTCACACTGCCGTCATCATGACGACGGCGGTCACGACAGCTGAAGCTGCCAAAGTAGAACGTTAGAACGGGCTGTTACAAAGCGACGACAGCGTAATTTGGACCAGAAAATGATTAAAATTTATGTCTTTAAAAAACCTTGATAGCACTTCAGTGACACTACCCAGTGCTAGTGTAAAATGGAACTAGACGTGAGCTTTCACCAGTACATGTTTTCTATATATACCCCAAAGGTGGGACAATCTCTTTAAGGCAGCTTAGTTTTCATTACTCATATTCAAGCGCTCCTCACTACGACTCCGGCTTTTTTACGACAAATTTCCCAATTTTTTTTATAATTGCTCTGAGGCCTTGAATCGCTGCCGCTTTTTGTCTCCGCCCCGCTGTTTCGACCCATGAAACGCGCGCCTCGTACCGAGGCAGCCTACACCTACGCAGACACCGGCAGACCGCCACACCGGTGGCGTTTCTGCATCGCGCCGCAGCCGCCTGGGACAGCCTGTCATCGCACGTGTGTGATACCGCAACACTGGGCGCATTTCAAACCGCCACACGCGATGTAATTTCGACTATTGGCCACTGATCTGACGCAGCCCATAGCGCAAAGACAGATCTGTTTTAACTCTGACCATTGCTCATATCATCATACTGTATCATTGCCCGTATCGTTTTATTGTATACTCTATGTGTACCTTTTTATACTGCACCTGCACATAATTTGAAACATGGCCTTGACCTCAAACCGTAATAGCTACCATGTGGATGGTTTCCAATGCACTGATACTGATATTGGTACCCCGATAATCACCAAACAGCTTAGAGCAAAACAAAAACACTGCGTGACGAATCACCACTTGCCTTAAATGCACGTCAGCAGCAAAAGAAAAGGAAAAACACAACGGATGATAGAATGCAACAAGAAAGGGCTCACATCTGCATTTTAAGTTAACTACAATCTTATCAATTTGCAAAGGAGTTCCATCGTTTGAGTATCACCTGTGTCAGAAGTTCCTTGAATACTTGTTGGTGGGGCAAAGTGAAGTTCGCGTCGAAAGACAGCAGCGGGCGAGAACCCTTCAGCGAGTTGCCGGTCATTTTCAACTCCTGCATCGTGTGCACTGCAACAAAGGACCAATACCGCACATAACACATCAGCAAGAAAGCGTGGATAATGACGGTAAAAACACTGTCCAACAGCCCCAAAACAAACTTGTTCACACAGAGACAGGCTGTATTGCCATACACTGAGTGACGCGACATGGGAGATAATTCAATGTAAATGACACCCATGTCCACCACAATTCTCCAATTCACCAAATCTTATGATTTCTAGGCTGAGCAATGCTGCAAAATCTCGTTTCTTAACAGTTGTGGCAGCCCGTCTGGTTGGCGGGGCGAAAGGTTTGGAAGAGCGAAACAAACTGACCGCTTTCCACTAGGAAGTAGCCCGTGGGGCCATCGGGTACGTTCGTCATCCATAGGTAGAGATGTTCCTTACGGGGTTCGAAAAACAGGCACTTGTTGCAATTCTTCATCTCGCATATCTGAAATATTGGCACAACAGTTTTTCAAGAGGCCAGACTTGAAAAACGTGAATGACACTGGAGTGTTTCCCTTAAGAAAGCTAGCGGAGGCGCATCAACATTTGACAAGGCTACAGCAAACACCCGAAAATGCTGAGCGACACATGATGTAACAGTGTTAACTCATCGGGCATTTCTGAAAAGATGGCCGAATTTCTGAAGTGGGAAACTCTGGGGAAGCAGCTAATACCGAACAGAGATTGCTGACACGATATTAACCGTACTTCCCAGACGCACAGGCGCACGTCTACACACCCGCCACGTCCGCACACAACACACGGCACACCATCCCAGTACGCTTTTACAAGGCCGAAGCAACTTGAATGAAAGCGCTAAAAAGCAAATGTTCTGCACTGAAAATCAATATATTTTGCAGACTACGAGCCGTGAACACACAACCCATAAAAACGAATATGCGTACCTCGTTAATGACCCGTTTCTCGTCCTTCTTATCCATTTTGGACTCAGATTTGGCATGGGGCAGCATGTCCTTCACGTCAGTCATGAGATGTCGGTAGCGATGCGATATGCCGCGTGATGAGAAAACCAGCACGCGCTGTTTGTTGATCCATTTCTTTGCCTGAAACACACGCAACGAACGAATGGTAAACCACACAAATACCTAAAGGGTCGATACATAGCATCGCATAGCCAAATGAACGCGCCAAGAACATGGCAATATCTGTAAACAACGTAATTTGGTCGCCAAATTATGCAATATGTTGCAAATAACCACCAAGGACAGGGCACGGAGCCCGTGGCGCTGACGTGCTGTCGGTGGCTGCAAACAGGCGTTCAGTTCCAGGTAACCCGGTCCGAGGAAGACGAGAGCCTTCACATCGGACATGAAAGTTGCCCGTGAGCGGTGCACAGGCCGGTGGGCTTCTGCACAACTGTGCAGGACACCGCCAGAAATGTGAACAACTGCAAAAACTGAGCACAAACCCGCGGGCTCTGCAACAACGATAAACATGAGCGCACACGTGCCAGCTAACGAGTGATATAACAAACGTACAACAAATGGCATGCATATTGCTACATGCCAATGATATCTTTAAAATGAGTGCCTTCATTTATTTTGCAAAGGAGCTTCCGCCTGACACGTCCTCTGTAATCATGTTCAATTCATAAATTCAGCGTGTACTGTCACACAAGTATGATTACCTATACGCCCCCACTTTAACGCAGCCGAGACTACGGTACTTTCCACCTGTCCCGACACAGAGGATGGAAGGAAGTCCTTTGGTAAGCCAGAATCCAGTTTTCAGATCGAAAAATGTAAAACTTAGTGTCACCATGGGGTTATGTTCAAAACATGACCTTATCGGCCCTGATCTTCTTATAAAGGAATCACTACAGGGAGTGTACTGCATTTGTATGGGGTTTTGCACCGAAAATTGGTTGACATCCACCTTATCCCCCATAATACAAAACATGACCGCGCCGGGTGGTACTCAACCCACATACATGACAATAGAATTGCGGTGTAGCGCGAACCAGCTGATCGTCAAAAAGGCATGGACTTTACACCGTTCATCCGCTTCAATGACACAACCTGCAGACAAGCGTCTTGAAATCACGATCACCTTGGCTAAACACGCAGAGCGGTTGGTGTCAACGTTCTCTCCTGATATATCACCAGTGCTAAGACTGTGAGAGCTGCCCATTTCAGGGGTACATCCCCGGCCACGCTGCGCTCAGGCCGTCACCAAGTCCTTCAACTTCGACTAACAAATCTCCATGCACATCCAAAGCTGCCTCTTAAGAGAGTGCTGCCCCCTGCCTCTTGAGAAGGGCATGAGTGGAAACAGGCGGGGTGCAGTCGGTGCCAGTTCCTTCGTCAATTCCTCGAGGTCCACTTTTCCGTTCAGAGTCTCTCATAAAATTAAACGTCTCCTTTGTCATGCTACGTGAGTGTCATGTTGTTTGGTTGAAGTCGGTCTTAGTACAACGTGCAATGTCCCCTCTGCGGACTTACACCACTTTTAGTTGACGAAGGTAAGCTCGGTGTCTCTTGTTTTGGTGCTGGTTTTCAGCGTTGCTTTACCTGGCACAGAAGCTTCTTGTTTATGCCGTCCTTAATCACATCACTGCCGTACAGGAAGTCATCATGCTTCATCTTCTTGATGCGGATACGGACACTTCCCACCAGACACGTACCTCTTTCCGTTTCTTCAGATATCTGCTGATCACTTGATGATGCACATCGGCGCTCTTACATGTGTGCCTCTTAGTCAGTTATTTGCCAGTGATGGGTTCTGCTGCCAAGTGATCGTGGTGATCAGCTTGCGTGGGAGCTGTTACGCTATCCAGTATTTGTTTTTGGAGCACAAGAATGTCAGCGCAGAAGGCTACTCGATTCTCATCATGGTTGGGTTGACATCGCCGACGTAACCCCCGTGCATAGAAGTCATGCCAGGTCGCTGCAGAGGTAGCGCCACGTCCGTACTCAAAGTTTATCCCGTCGTGTTCGTCATTGGCCAACTTCATGGCAGCCCGGCGTATGTGCAGATGACTCCGCTGAGGTACTGCGGTTGTGCCGATGCCCATATAGGAGACGGCGTAACTGCCCGCGACGGGGTATAGAGGTTTAGGTCCGAGGTGGCCATGGTCCTGCGTTGCCGTCCAGATCCGAGGCTTTTCTCCCAGTGCTCTCCAACCCAGTCACAGCTCTTTCTAGGGAGCCTGCTCTGAGGCGACCCGGTATTTGCGCTAGTGCTGCGTGCTTGTTTCTTCTCAGCTATCCTCGATAGAGCCACACTGTCATGTCAAAAATCTGAGGCGAGCATCACCCTTGCCATGTGTAGTCTAAATGTCACAGCACAAAAAGGAATGAAGTTCTCCATGCAGGACAACCCTATGGTCTCAAACAACCAAAACATTCAAGCAGACATTCTCACCAAATACATTATGGGTATCCAACTGTAAGGTGATACCATATATTTTGGCATCATATGCAAGATCTTCAAACAGCACAATCTTGAAAAAATGCATTGTTGATAGTCAATATGCATTTGTTGAAACATTCACATGCCAAGTTTGGAGTAGGCTTCAGTAATGGCTGGCAAAATACATGCACAACTATGCTAGACAACTCATACTGTTTCTGGAAGTTTAGAGCATGTGTTGTGAGTGAGTAATGTGTTCTCACTTTACAATACATGCTTTGGAGCAAGCAATGCTGTCATTGAACACACCACAAAAGGACATATTAAATAGCATATGTCCTTTGCTGGTGTCACATAATCACTGTAAACCCAACACAAATGGACACATTTGCTTGGCTACATCCTTTTGCCATTATTCAAGTGCACAATGTGCAGAGCATATATCTTTTGAGCCACTTACACCTCTTTGCTTTGCATCACATGTTTCCTTCACATCACATTGAGACAAATCAAATGATACTACAAATCAAGTTCTGGAAAAAAGGTGGCTACATCCTATTAACATGGATGGAAGAGGTTCATGGGGCAGTGGCTCACTGGGACAACCATTTACCTTTCTTTAAGATCAGGACTATCTCACCCAGTCAATCTAGGGCAAATTAAAATCACCTGTGTCATGAAGAAGGAAAACTGAGCTCTGCATCCTTTCTGAATAAGGTGCTCGAGTTGCTGCACTCTGGTGCATTGCCTGATGGACTACAGTACATGCATGTGCCCAAAAAATCAGGGCCCCAGTCAGATGCCAGATAATACTCATACCAAAGCCAAGCCAGAAGACAGAACCTACCTTTGCTGAATGCTGTTCAGTTGTTGATGTGGTATCTGGTGCTGTATTTAACTGAGGCTGTGAAAGCAGTGCCCTTTTGGCCTTCCTCTTGGACTTCAAAGACCCCAACTTCTTGTGATTAGCCTTGACCTTTGTTGAAGCCTTCATGTCCGTCCACAAAGATTCGAAAAGCTTGAACACTACCTAACTGCTCGAAACGTGGGTCTCGGAAACCACGAGCAGTGGGAGAATGTGTCACATATGACGAAAAATGTTGAACTTGATGTCAAGACACAGACACTGATATATGAATATTCCACCCGCCCCCAACTCGCACACCACTCACACTGCCCCGCCACGGAATGCGCCCGGGGACCGCACCACACGCGCGCCGCCCACGTGTGTACGCCTGGTCGTGGTACTTGGAGGCGTATTTATTCCGGCAGAATGATGACGTCACTGGAGTTCACCAGCCCCGCTGCCGCCGCCGCCGCCGCCGCGTCGCCGGCTAGGTCGGCGTTTTTGTCAGTGTATCTAATGGCTTGCAAAAGAGATATGCCACGACATCTGTGGTATGACTGGCGTATGTGCTTCCTGCCGACGGGGCTTCCCGCTGGCTTGAACTGGCATCCCTCTGGCTTAGCGAGGCTCGCCGGCAGCGATTCATTTGCTGTAAACGGCCTTTTTGAGATGCGTGGACCGGACTGTGTGTTTGACCTATAGTCCTATACTACCTGGGAACGCATGAGGTGAGCTTCGCAAGAAGTCCCGTTAGATCACAGCGGCCGCCTTTGAACGCGAGGCCTGGGATGTTTGTGGAATCTGCTGATGTCATAGCCCAGACCGGTCGAGGCCTCACTGGCCGCCTTAGGTTGCCACCTTGGACCGCAGGAACCACCTTGGAACGCCTAGTCCGGGCTCTGTATGGGGGCTGCTGAGATCAAAGTGGGAGTCGCCTCCCAACTATGCACCGGAGGTCTGCTTTGGAAATATAGCGCCAATCACCGCGGTTCACAACTAGTGCATGCCAAGCTGTCCGGCCAAGCTTAGCGGGGACATCCATATCCGGGATGCGGGACGATTTGACCTTCAGCGTGGCCTGGCTCGAGGGCCGTAAGCACCCGCGGGTGGATGACAGAAACCGGCGACGGCAAAGCTGCGAAAACGTTGAAACTGATATGGCCTGACCTGAACGAAATAACATTTGTCTACAGCGTCGGAATCAATACAGAAACGAACGGATACTCGCTGCAAAGTTTTCATGCAATAGCTGACGTGGCTGAAACCAACAGACGAGCAATGATTTCGTTCGAGATCACGCAAAACTCGAAACCACGCGCAGCGCCCGCTGAGGGAAGGATCCAGTGACGTCATGCTAATCTTGAGTGGATGGGACGCTAAAATCGCTCGATGATCCTACCCCTCACAAGGCCTTAACGTTGTTGGAACGTGCGGGGACAGTGGGGTGCCGGTCGGTCTGGACGATATCGCAGAATTTAAGACATGGGAGATAGTGGGGAGAGTACCGTTCCTCCTTTACAAACTGAACAGAAAGGAGAGGACTTGGAATCAATGTGCAAAGAAGTAAGGCTATTGTTGAATTAGTTTTTGGAGGTTTCGCTGTTTGCCCTTCTGCTGTGAAAATGTAAACAATACTGAATAAAACAACTGAATCAGGCACAGTCTGTTGCCGTACATTTGCAGGCTTTGGATCGGGGGCAGCTGAGCAGTTCTAAGAAATGTCTTAAAAATGTTCAATCTGTCCCAATAGCCCAGATGGTTATGCAACACCTGCAACACCTGCAATATCTGCACTAAACCACCTCCCATTAGGTCAGCCTGGTACTACAGCTGCTGGACATGAACAAATCCATGTGTTAAGTTTTAAGTGACAAATGAGATGAGCAGTGACTTGGCTCAGATACTGTGTGAATAATCATAACACTGCGAATGATTGGGCTTTATAACTAGCCAGGCAGCATCTGAAATTTGGTTCTTGAGAGAGAACAGAAGTGTTATCATTATATCCTGTAGTGAGAACAACAAAAACAGGATTTGTGCACAGATCCAGTCAGCATTGGCAGTATCAGGGCATTTTAAGACAGGATGCCTTTGTAAGGCATATTATGTGGGATGTGGTAAAGATTGAAAGAAGAGCTAAGAAATCTTGTATTTGAGCTGAGCCAAGCAACCTGATCTCTACACCTCTGCTGCATTATAACTATTTGCAGCTCACTCAGTTGTGGAAACTGTAACCTGCACTATCCAAAACTCTTGTAATGCCTTGGAAAGATCCTTCTGCAATCCTCCCTGACAAAAGGACTGCATGCAAACTGGTTGGTACCCTCCATGTAGATATCACTTACTTTTCATGATGTGAATTTTGAGTGGTCCTGGGTAGAAGTAAGCAGTTCCACAGAGCAGTTCAACTCTGACACTGCTGAGCTTTGTCCCATCCATGTGAAATATCTGAAGCAAACAATTAGTATCATTAAAACAAAAAAGCATGCATGCCTTTTGCCTATCAACCATTTTTATCCACAGATCCTCCTCCCCAGTGCACTTGGATTAAGGCTATGTGCAGAGTCTTGGAGGCATATACATTTTTTTATAAAATTGCATGTTTCCAGGATAGTTGATGTGCTATTATGTTGCTTATTTAGGCACTTTTTTGCATTTTAAATACACTGAGCTCTTGGTTTCAGGAGCTTATCAACAAGATACGATCAATGGAGCTGCATATCAAGCAGCTGCGAAACATCATTGCAAAGTCAGGCAGCGTCAAACCAAAGGCCACAAAAGGAAAACAGCGAGAATTCAACTATGGCAAGTATGTGTGTTCATTGTGTTGAGGCCAGAAATGATACCAATAACAAGCTTGAAAATATTGCATGTTTTGGTCTTTATTTGGCTTCTGTAACTCACTTCTTCAAGGAAAGTGTTAGGTTTCCTTTTGTCTGCACATATGAAGCATTTCCTTTATATTAATGTTACTGGGTATTTGCATGCTTCCAAACATCTTTAACTTTTCATTTGTATTTGAAGTATGTCTTGAATGATATAACACACTCAGCAGTGGATACTATGCAGCCTTGTCTGCCTCTCACCATGACAGCATTGTCAAAATTGGGGAGGAATCACTGTTCTTTTCTTTAGGGCACTGATAACATGCACCCTTTGAAGCCCACATGGTCATTCATGGAAGCATGGTGAATGTATGTAAATTAGCTTGAATTAGATAGGTTGGGCTACAAGTACTGGCTTTTACAAAAATGCTTCCTGCTTCCAAAGTGGGCCTATAAATTTGCATCCTTGCAAAAGTTAAAGCAATAATTACCTCACAGCTGCAAACTGTTCTCGCACATTACAGCGTTTTCAACTTTCAGTAACTGTGTATAGCACTGCTGTGATGAATGGCCAGCCTATTGATAGGGTTCAAGTGTAAATGCTGAGGATAACGTTTGATTTCGGCCGAATTGGCATGGCCGAAAACGTCGCCAGACTGGATTAGCGGGCTAGAGGTCTGTCATAACGCCATTTCTGAGCGAAATTCGAAGAAGTTGCGACTTGCTGTCTTGGTTTGATGATATAGCTGTGTCTGCTATGAGCTTTCTCACTGCGTCATAATAGTTTTGACTTTTACATGAAACCGATTGGATGAGAAGCAACTGACGGTACTTGCAGTGTTTCAGTGTTTTAGTTCGTAGCATTACTACCGAAAAGTATGGTCAACAGTGGCGACATTTAAAGTGTTGAGGACTGACAAGGTCGAGAACTGTCAAGAAATGCTAGTGGCAACCCACCATGGATATGTCATTACTTTGTCTTTGATTGCGGGGCGCACAATTTTTTTTTTTGTCTTGAAAACCGTTAAATCCGCAGGACAGACATGTTTTGCAAGCGAGGTATGGTGCTGCGTGGTAGCATGTGCTGCTGCAGCGTCATATTTTCGAAATATATGTCTTAGTTTTATTGCCGTAGATGTGGTCTCTATCACTCATAGATCATTTAGATTACATCCTCTACTAGCTAAGCCTGGGTCACAGGTTCACATGTGACTTCAGCTTTAGTCTTTCGGTCATAGCCGCAAGAACAGGGGTGTGTCAACGGTACCCCCACTTCCCAAACAAGTTTCTTGACCGTGGCTTGCGGTCACGGCCGGCAGGTACCGGCGGCGGCACATTCTGCTGCGCTTCTGCTACCTGGGTTGGGACTACCAGGGCTTCGCCAGCCAGGAGGACACGCCCTGCACCATTGAGGCGGAGCTGTTCCGATGTCTGGAGCTGACCCGGCTCGTGCGCGACCGCCAGACGGCCAAATACCACCGCTGCGGCCGCACAGACAAGGTAGCCGTCATCATCCCCCGGCTCTCATACCGGTGGTCGGCCGTCACTATCCCCCAGCTCTTTTACCGGTGGTCGGTCGTCACTGTCCCCCGGCTCTCTTACCGGTGTTCGGCCGTCACTGTCCCCCGGCTCTCTTACCGGTGGTCGGCCGTCACTATCCCCCGGCTCTCTTACCGGTGGTCGGCCGTCACTATCCCCCGGCTCTTACCGGCGTTCGGCCGTCACCATCCCCCGTCTCTCTTACCGGTGGTCGGCCGTCACTATCCCTCGGCTCTCTTACCGGTGTTCGGCCGTCACCATCCCCCGTCTCTCTTACCGGTGGTCGGCCGCCACCATCTCCCGTCTCTCTTACCGGCGTTCGGCCGTCACCATCCCCCGTCTCTTACCGGTGGTCGGCCGTCACCATCCTCCAGCTCTCTTTCCGGCGGTCGGTCGTCACCGCCCTCCAGCTTTCTTACCGACGTTCGGCCGTCACCATCCCCCGTCTCTCTTACCGGTGGTCGGCTGTCATCGTCCCCCAGCTCTCTCACTGGCGGTCGGCCGTCACCGTTACCCGGCTCTCTTACCGGTGGTCGGCCGTCACCATCCCCCGTCTCTCTTACCGGCGTTCGGCCGTCACCATCCCCCGGCTCTTACCGGCGTTCGGCCGTCACCATCCCCCGTCTCTCTTACCGGTGGTCGGCTGTCATCGTCCCCCAGCTCTCTCACTGGCGGTCGGCCGTCACCATCCCCGTCTCTCTTATCGGTGGTTGGCCGTCTCCATCCCCCGTCTCTCTTACCGGTGGTCGGCTGTCACCGTCCCCCAGCTCTCTTACCGGTGGTCGGCCGTCACCGTTCCCCGGCTCTCTTACCGGTGGTCGGCCGTCACCACCCCCCGGCTCTCTTACCGGCCGTCGGTCAGCCAACTGCCGCCCATGATGCTCCGCGATAGCATACCTGCCTCCGCCGTGCCAGGTGTGGCCATTGGTGACCGTGTGGTCAGGTCCGGTCCGTTTTAGCCAGGTGTAATAAATGCGTATATGAGTGTAAATATAAGTTCGTGGTTCCCGTCGCAATCCGTTCTTGCGCGAGTGCCAACCGTTTCTCCCGGGCATTGTACACTGACACGTTATCAGTGATACCCTGTCGGTCGTCTACACGCTGCCGGCTCGCCGTGGGCCGCCTTGACGTGCTCCGAGCTCCGGTTCTCCCAACGGGAGCCGGGTCGCCTCTGACGTGCTCCGAGCTCCGATGCTCCTATCGGGAGCCGGGCCGCCGCTGACGAGCTCCGAGCTCCGATGCTTCCATTGGGAGCCGGACCACCGCTGGCTTGCTCCGAGCTCCGATGCTCCTATCGGGAGCCGGGCCGCCGCTGACGAGCTCCGAGCTCCGGTGCATCCGCCACTGGTGTGCTCCGTGGTCCGGTGCTCCCGCTGGGAGCCAGGCCGCCGCTGACGAGCTCCGAGCTCCGGTGCTCCCGCCACTGGTGCACTCTGGGATCCGGTGCTCCCGCCGGGAGCCAGGCCGCCGCTGACGAGCTCCGGGCTCCGGTGCTCCCGCCACTGGTGTACTGCGGGCTCCGGTACTCCCGCCACGGGTGTACTCCGTGATCCGGTGCTCCCGCTGGGAGCCGGGCTGTCGCTGACGCATCACCGCCCCGCCGTCCCCAGGGCGTGTCGGCATTCAGCCAGGTGATCTCCTTGGACGTGCGAAGCCAGCAGCTGGCTGAGCCGGGCGAACCGGACGCGCCGGCTACCCTGCCGCCCGAACAGGAGATCAACTACGCCTTCATCCTCAACAAAGGTGCGCCGCAGCCGACCGGCGGCCGAAGCACGCTGGACACGTGCCCTGCGGCGGGCGCCGTGTTCACCTTGGCGTGGTTCGCCTGTTTTTGAGCTGCTCGCATCATGTGGAATTTCCGGAAACACCCGTTCACTGAGTTGACCTTAAGACGAGCACATAAAGTGGTAATCGGGACCGTGCGAAGAATCGTCTAAGTGGCGGCACCTACTCGTGGGAAAATCCTGCTCGTGCCGGCAACTGTTCAGTGTTTTAGTTCAGTCCTACTTCTGCCTGGCCGCTATTCGTTTGAGAATGATATGCCCGCTGTGTCCCGCGCTGTCGTCATTTCGCTGTTTGCCGCTCTCGTGCCTCTCACGCCACTCTCACGCTTTCCATACGTCTCTCGCACCGCCATCACGCCTCCCACGCCTCTCTTACACCTCTCGCACTCCACGTCGGCAGTGCTGCCTGCTGAAATCCGCGTGCTGGCCTGGAGCCCAGTCAGTCCAGAGATGAGCGCCCGCTTCGACTGCCGGGGCCGTACTTACAAGTACTTCTTTCCGCGCGGCCCGCTGGATCTGCAGGTGGGCCGGTAGCCAGCGACTCGCGCGCCATCTGTTCGGATGGCGCGCCGGGCCGGGGAGCTAATGGAGGGAGGCAGGGCCGGCGCGCCCTCTGCTCCGAACGGCGCCTGGCCGGGAGAGAGGGCCGGCCGGGCGGCCACACAGGGGCACGGACACGGCCTTCCCAGTCGTGGCTTCTTCGGAGGCGCACCGCCCCTGGGACAATCTGTTCTGAGCGTTCTCCCTCTAGCGTCCCTTCTCCTGGACGCAAAATGGCCGCACCACCAAACAAAAACAGGCGTCCTCTGTTTTTGTGCACGGAACCATTTGATAGGCGTAATGACATTAAACAAGTTGAGTACAGTTGTTAGCTTATAATCTCGAATTGTTGAAAGCAATAGTAGTAACGGCCTGGGTGGGAACCAATGGATGTCATTGAATGTTTTCCGACGGCATCTCGAAATTACGCATAACATAGACTCCTAGTACCTAACTTTGTAACGCAAAGTCCTCGATGCGTTGTCAAAATCACATTGTGTCGCGAATCGAACGATCGCCGCGTTTATGTTTAGAACCATGACCTTGATGGCAGGCAAAATATGATATCGTGGTCGCAACCTGTGGCATGTGAAATCAGGTAATACGGGTCATGCCTCCTACAAAGGCCCCATCCCGTTACCGAAAGAACCGGATATCGCACGAGAACGAAACAGACTGCGCTCGATAGCGCCCTTCAGACGGCACCAAAGTTGGAGTCATGCTGTCTGAAATATTTCATACCAGATCATGACATGTCAAAAAGTGTTGCCACGAACATTCCGTTGTGTGTGTGTGTGTTATGTGCGCGCGTGCGTGCGTGCGTGCGTGCGTGCGTGCGTGCGTGCGTGCGTGCGTGTCATTGGGGCTTTACGACGCACTCAGCTGCTGAGGCTATATGGCGTCGCCTGCCTCTCACCCTGGCGGGAAGGGCGGTCACCGAGGAGAATCGAACCCCGTACCTCTGGTTTCCCAGGCGCGCAGTGGTCAACGTAGACGCGTTAGCCACTACACTGCCGGCGCCACCCACTCCGTTTTGTCACGCTCGACTCGGGTCGGCGTTGGATGACCCAATGACCCAATTACATTTACATGATAATTTCATCATACAGTACGACGGGCAAGATGCAGCAAGTAATGGCGTAAAGCTCTTGAAACGCGTAATCTAGCGACTAATGTAACGACTAGCTTACGTTACTGGGCGTTTTCACGCGAACCGCCAACGACATGGCATCGATGACCGGCTGGTCACTCGTGGCTTGGGGAAGAAAATATCTTCAGACTTTTCACAAAGCGTTTAGAAAGTGCCGAAACGAGTCACTGAAAGTTACAGCGTCATGCACTTGGTAGTACAGACGATATTCTAGAAAGACTGCGGGGCTCTGAGATCCTTCGTGCAATGGCTAACCAACGAGAACCCCGGATATGTCATGCCTGCCTTGCGTAGAGTTAGCGCTGGGCGTTGGTCTGTCCGTCCTTCCGTACATGATTGTACATACTTCCTTGATGTCAATGAAATTGCGGTATGCGGAAGGAAATGTAAAGAGCTCGTAACAAGAGGGTTTGTCGTTAGAAATGGACGCCTCGTGGTATATATCGCACAAATCTAAATAAGCATCCGCTGTTTCACTGGTTGTGTCCCTGGTGGATGACATACATCGTTAAGACATCGGAAGCGGATGCCCCGCAAATCGACTCCCAATAAGTTTGAATCCGCTCTGACCCGCATGGTTGTGTCTCTGATATTGGCGCTGGTAATTTGCACGGATGTGATCGTTTGGGCTGCTCGGATGTGGGCGCACACCCACGGTAACGCTCACGCAGGCGTGACGCGCTGGACGATGATCCGGGTTGGCCGCCGGCGGTAAAGGTCGCGCCGGTCCCGCCGTGCGGTCGCTGACCTTTGACCCGGCCCGCCCGCTCGGCACCGCGCCTGCACAGCTGACGGCGCGTGTCAGCCAATGCGGGCGTCATCTGGTGTCATATGATAGGGTGTGGGTTTTGTCAGCGCTTGATTGGTTTATCGCGTCGGCCGGGTCGGCTCTCGCGCCTCCCGTTGGCGCCGTGTAAAGCTGTCGATGTCGGAGTGGTCCCAGTTTATGGGGTTTCCGGTCGTGAGAAGGGGTCGGTTTGCTCTAAAGCCGCCCAATGTGACGTGGCCATAAATGATCTGGCCTGCTGAGATTGCGATTTATCTGGACATTTGCTGGTGTCGTGGATCCTCGAGGCATACGAATGGGGCTAAGTTATTAAGATCGAGTTAAGCTTCAATGTGCAGGCAAGTGACGCACGCTGCTCGCGCCTTGTCTGGAGAATGGTCTCAAATGTCTCACATCGAGCAAATTACCAACGCTCAACTACGGCCGAAGCCCCGCAACGTCGTGTTCTTGTTTCCACTATCAAAGGGATGTTCGTGCCAAAGTGTTTTACCTGATATCACTGCATTAGCACATTTCCAGCGCAATCGCGTAGCATTTAACGCCCTGCGGCAGTGGGCAACAAATGACCACCGCAGTCGGAGCGCCGTTAAGCCCAAATCACCACCACTGTGCGGCTTCTTCACTTATCAATTGGGCATGCACGGTCAGTCTTGGATAATGATGCTCACCGCATGTGTATTTTAATCCTGTGTTATCCATCCAGAGCACGTCTTTTACCGGCTGAGCAATCACTAACGGTCTGATAACATCTTTGGGTTAATGCGTAATGCAGACAGTTTACTATCCATTATCCATCATTCATGTGTGCTTCGTCCAGCCCGCCGCAGGCCTAATGTTCGCTTCTGATTTATTGCATACATTACACGCCCGGAGATATCTTTTGACATGTCTTGGAGATGCCTTGTGTCTTCATCACAGCTCACCGTTTGCATGTTAAATCCATCCATCCACTTCGCCGGTTTTCTCGGCATCAGGGTCTTTCGTTTGATGACATGTTCTTGATAGCCTCCTGACAGCCTCCTCAGCTGACACACAATTGTCAGACCCAAGTTTTCCGCACACGGCATGTTCTTTTAGTAATAAAATTGCTAAGTTGACAGCAGGTGGAACATTGCCGTATCCGAGAAGGTGTGTAAGATAAGTTAAGATTGTCTGGTGTTCGACAGGTATTGTATATTTTCGTCATGCATGGGTTCCATATCGGTCTCACGATTGCGTGCCGTAAAATAACTCATTCTGTTCATCTGCCAGAATGTACATGAGACCCAGCGGGCTCCCCACTATGCCTGTCGTGAAGTCAAGCTCTTGTGTTAGAACACACCAGTGAATAATCCTCTGCGATTATTACAGCCTTGTAGACTTACGGCATTTGCATGTGAAGCTCAAGAAATGGAGTCTTCTGTTCCAATGTTCAACTGTTTGCTTCAGTGTGGGGGAAGAAATTATGCTGCATGTCCGTATCTGTTAGCCGAGTCCGTGCCGTCTCCTGACCGTGTCTGCCAGCCGGGTCCGTGCCGTCTCTTGACCATGTCTGTCAGCCGAGCCCGTGCGGTCTCCTGACCATGTCTTTCGGCCGAGCCCGTGCCGTCTTCTGACCATGTCTGTTAACCGAGTCCGTGCTGTCTCCTGACCATGTCTGTCAGCCGAGTCCGTGCCGTCTCCTGACCATGTATGTTAGCCGAGTCCGTGCCGTCTCCTGACCATGTCTGTCAGCCGAGTCCGTGTCGTCTCCTGACCATGTCTGTCGGCCGAGCCCGTGCCGTCTCCTGACCCTGTCTGTCAGCCGAGTCCGTGCTGTTTCCTGACCATGTCTGCCAGCCGAGTCCGTGCCGTCTCCTGACCATGTCTGTCAGCCGAGTCCGTGCCGTCTCTTGACCATGTCTGTCAGCTGGCCGAGTCCGTGCCGTCTCCTGACCGTGTCTGCCAGCCGAGTCCGTGCCGTCTCCTGACCGTGTCTGTCAGCCGAGTCCGTGCCGTCTCCTGACCCTGTCTGTCAGCCGAGTCCGTGCTGTCTCCTTACCATGTCTGTCAGCCGAGTCCGTGCCGTCTCCTGACCATGTCTGTCAGCTGGCCGAGTCCGAGCCGTCTCCTGACCATGTATGTCAGCTGGCCGAGTCCGTGCCGTCTTCTGACCATGTCTGTTAACCGAGTCCGTGCCGTCTTCTGACCATGTCTGTTAACCGAGTCCGTGCTGTCTTCTGACCATATCTGTCAGCCGAGCCCGTGCCGTCTCCTGACCATGTCTGTCAGCCGAATCTGTGCCGTCTCCTGACCATGTCTGTCAGCTGGCCGAGTCCGTGCCGTCTTCTGACCATGTCTGGTAATCGAGTCCGTGCCGTCTTCTGACCATGTCTGTTAACCAAGTCCGTGCTGTCTCCTGACCATGTCTGTCAGCTGGCCGAGTCCGTGCCGTCTCCTGACCGTGTCTGCCAGCCGAGTCCGTGCCGTCTCCTGACCGTGTCTGTCAGCCGAGTCCGTGCCGTCTCCTGACCCTGTCTTTCAGCCGAGTCCGTGCTGTCTTCTGACCATATCTGTCAGCCGAGCCCGTGCCGTCTCCTGACCATGTCTGTCAGCCGAATCTGTGCCGTCTCCTGACCCTGTCTTTCAGCCGAGTCCGTGCTGTCTTCTGACCATATCTGTCAGCCGAGCCCGTGCCGTCTCCTGACCATGTCTGTCAGCCGAATCTGTGCCGTCTCCTGACCATGTCTGTCAGCTGGCCGAGTCCGTGCCGTCTTCTGACCATGTCTGGTAATCGAGTCCGCGCCGTCTTCTGACCATGTCTGTTAACCAAGTCCGTGCCGTCTCCTGACCATGTCTATCAGCCGAGTCCGTGCCGTCTCCTGACCACATTGGTCATCGGAGCTCGTTTTGCCTTCAGGCGATGCAGGCCGCCGCTGACCGGCTGTGCGGCCACCACGACTTCCGCAACATCTGCAAGATGGACGTGGGCAACGGCGTGCTGGAGTACCGGCGCCACCTGCGCCAGGTCACCGTCCGCCCGCTGGAGGGCGGTGCCGATGACGGCTACCAGATGTGCCAGCTGGTGGTGCGCGGCAACGCCTTCCTCTGGCACCAGATCAGGTGCGGGCCCGCTGCCATTCTCCGCAGCTGCCGGCTGGTATCTATGCTGCCGAGCGGTGTTTGGTGTAATGGGTGCTGACGCAGAGTCATGCAGTGTTGTGGGTTTCCAAGCTGTCGTTTTGTGAAGTGCGCAGTGGCCCTGATCTCCAGCCTACGCTGTGTCTAGCTGTAGCTGCTCAACTGCCGTGCCTTGCCTGAGTTAGTGCGTACGCGCGCTGTTTTACATGCACGTAGGATCAGGGTGTGACCACTGGCCCGTGCGCGGCAGGTGCATGATGGCCGTGCTCTTCCTGGTGGGAGAGCACCTGGAGGACGCGTCGGTGGTGGACCAGCTACTCGACGTGCAGGCCAACCCGAGGTCAGTCGGCCAGCTGGAGTCTGCCCCGCGGGGGGCCCCCACTCGGTGTGTGGCCCCACGCGGGCCATGCCGCCTCACGACTCGGCGTCGGCCCGGTGCACCGTCCCTGGCGATAGATGACGCGAGCAGACAACGCAAACAGGAATATCGGCCACAGGACGCGATGAATATCGCCCAGGCTACGTGGCCAACAGGCCGAGGGAAAATAACCCACTGTCCGCATCACGGTAGTTAGTGTCCGCGTAACAGGCTCTGTTTAATGAGAAGTCTGCTCTCAGTCCTACTCCAGCGAATGACGGATGCCACGAGATGTATTTGAGAACGGCTGGAGCGCGCCGCTGACGGTCGGCCGCGCCGCAGGAAGCCGCAGTACAGCATGGCCTCGGAGCTGCCGCTGAACCTTTATGACGTGGAGTACGACAGCGTGGCGTGGCACCACGACCCGGCGGTGCTGCTGGAGGTGACGGAGACGCTGCAGCGACTCTGGACGGAGACGGCCGTCAGGTGAGCCGAGCCGACCCAGGCAGGACAGGAGGACGCGGGGCAGAGGACAGGGCAACGGCAGGTGAGCCGGCTCAAGCAGGACAGGAGGACACGGGGCAGAGGACGGGGCGACGGCAGGTGAGCCGGCCGAGGCAGGACGGGAGGACACGGGGCAGAGGGCAAGGTGACGGCAGGTGAGCCGGCCCAGGCAGGACAGAAGGATACGGGGCAGAGGACAGGGCGACAGCAGGTGAGCTGGCCCAGGCAAGATAAGAGGACGCGGGGCAGAGGACAGGGTGACGGCAGGTGAGCCGACCCAGGCAGGGCAAGAGGACGCGGGGCAGAGGACAGGGTGACTGCAGTTGAGCCGACCCAGGCAGGTCAGGAGAACGCGGACAGAGGCCGGGGCAACGGCAGGTGAGCCGACAGAGGGAGGACAGCATCACGCCAGGGACAGAGAGGAGGGCGCACAGGATAGTGTCTGGTGGTTCAGAAGGCAGAGGACAGGATTGCATCGGATGAAATCACCATGATTTCTCCCAAATCTGTGCCCAACGCAGCGTGCTACCCAATGGAAATTGATGCCCATTAGGTCGTCCAGCCCGTGAAGTCTTGAGCGACAGCATGCAATCTTTTATATATATATATATATATATATATATATATATATATATATATATATACGTTTTGTGTGACTGCGGCGTGCCGTGGCGTAGAAACATCGGAGCAGTGCTGATAGTGACAGTGGCAATTATGTGAGGATAGTGCGTGGGGGGGGGGGGGGAGACACAGGAGTGGTTTCCCTGGTGATACATTGTTATGCGGAGCGAGCTTGCCGCAATCTTCGAGGCGCATGTGCGTACCCGAAAAGGTCTTAAGTCTTGGAAAATATCAGTGTGTGTAATGGTAATAGGTAAATACAGATATCCTGGGAGATGCGGCGAACAGATGACATTGTGTCGTGCCGCAAAAAGGGATGGCTGGACACCGCATCGCATAACTATTAAAGGAAGCCAGCAGTGGTGGTGCAATTTGGGAAGGTGGGCATACGTGAATCTGTCTCACCGCCGGTCCCCTAAAGAGGAGCACAGTAACGGTTGCTGTGTGGATGTGGTCAAAGTCATCAGTTACACCCCAGATCCGAAAACGGCAGGCCTTATAAGGCTTCATGGAAATAACTGAGGGTTAAACAGCCCGTCTCACTAGGAGGAGCTCAGGTCCAACTGCGTTGACGACGTTCGACAATGTGGTAGTTGTTCTTGTTTTGCTTTTGTGTTTGTTGACTGGGTACAGCTGACGGACCCTGTATTCTAAAGTTCATATACAGCCAGTTATCAACACAACGAGAATGGGAGGCTGAGAGAACTGTTGTACGACACACAGCACATGTACGTGCCTGATACCGATACAGCGCATACAGCATGTTGCATAACGCGTTGAATAGTATTTTCCACGTGGCTGGCGGCCCATGTGGATGCTTTGGTCGCCAGATGGATTAATTGTAATCTCTAACGACGGTTGAAAATTCCACTTCGGAAACGAACATGGCCGTGACGAGGTTACCGGGGGTTCGTGGTGTGGGTGGAGCAACAAGAGAACAATGTCACTGGTCATGCGTTCTGCCCGTATGGCACCAGCGTGCAGCGAAGTAAGCGTGCCAGCGTTTGTTGAGGGTGGAAAGACAAACATGCCTTGATTTCCCGTACCGATAGCGTACAAATCACCAACTGTAGTGCAAATGTATTCATGCAAAAGATTCGCCCAACCATAAAGATTTATATCTTGCATCGCAAGCACTATATCACCCTCAATCGTTTAAAGCACGTGCTCCAGTTGAGTCCCTTTCGTAAGAGGCAGAGTTGTGGGGAGTTCTGAGTTAAGAGGCAGAGTTGTGAGGAGTTCTGAGTTAAGGGGCAGAGTTGTGAGGAGTTCTGAGTTAAGAGGCACAGCCAGAGTTCTGTGCGCCTTGCCACTTCATCGATAACCTTGCTGCACATACCAGGGGTGGCCTTGGGCATCTCCTGGCTGAAAGCCCTCTTCAGGTCACCGGGCCTCTGAGACTTCCTGTGGACACGGAATTTCAGGAACATCATAGATAAACATCTAGAGGAGTCGGATCCGGCGAGTGGGCCGTCCATATGCCGTCAGTCTTTCGTCTGATGATGCGTGCTCCGAAGTGGTCCTCCAGCCGTGTCAGGACCGTCTTTGACGTGCAGAGGGTGGGCCGTCACGCTTTAGCCATTTGCTCTTTATTTTACCCGTCTCTCAAAAGCTTCTCACGTAAGCGCAAAATCGTGTTGGTCGAGGGGCGTAGCAGGTTTTTAAGCGAGCTTCGGATGCGTTTACGCTGCGACGATGGATCTCGACCAATGTCGATTGACAGCTGTTATCTTTTGTTCTGTGCGAACATCTTCATTGTGGCAAATATGTTTGAGATTCGTCGACTAAATTCCAGAGCGTGTACTACAAACGGAACGGGAGAACACATACTTGTGAGATATTTGGCGCTGCGAAACGCCTATCACATCAGGTCATATTTTGGTACAGTTATTACGGACGTGCATATCAGCCGAAAAATGTGAGGAGGTCCTGATGTGTTCAGCGGTGGGCGATGACGAGCTTTGCGGTCAGATTCCGAACTTTGGGAATCCCGGTGTTCCCTCGTCGGTGACCTCGTATTCTGGTGTTTTCCCCACATGAAAACGGAAATGCTGTCGCGCCCTTGCGGGCCGGCCGCGTTGCGGGATCTTTAGGGCCCAAGGTCATATAAAGGTCATACTCGGGCTGCCCGTGCCAAAGGTTCTCCTCGTCAATGGCAGATGCGGAGGTCTTTGTTGGGATTCAAGCCCACACGGTCGTCTGCCCTGAGCCCACGGCATCTGCAACCGGAGTGAAAGCTGGTTTTCTGCTTTAGTGTTGGGACGACGGTGTCCAAACACGGTGCAAAGTGAGTCGCTTACGGTTGACATACAACAGAAACCTGATGGGCATGTAAAGCACCGGAACAACCTGAGATGAATGTCAAACTCCGGGAATGTGCCGTTTCCGTTGGTCGTGTAAAAGATTACCCAATGTTTGAAATGTCGACGGGATGTCGACGGAAAATGTCTTTTCGAAGCATAGTCCATGTCGGAACCGGATATGAGGCCTCACTGACTCTTACGTTTGGATCTCGGAGATATTTGGTGTTAGGACAACGTCTCCTCGCGATGGAGCAGATGTGTTCGTGGGAGGACAATGTCTCCTCGCGATGGAGCAGATGTGTTCGTGGGAGGACAATGTCTCCTCGCGATGGAGCAGATGTGTTCGTGGGGGGACAATGTCTCCTCGCGATGGAGCAGATGTGTTCGTGGCAGGACAATGTCTCCTCGCGATGGAGCAGATGTGTTCGTGGGAGGACAATGTCTCCTCGCGATGGAGCAGATGTGTTCGTGGCAGGACAATGTCTCCTCGCGATGGAGCAGATGTGTCGTGGGGGGACAATGTCTCCTCGCGATGGAGCAGATGTGTTCGTGGGAGGACAATGTCTCCTCGCGATGGAGCAGATGTGTTCGTGGCAGGACAATGTCTCCTCGCGATGGAACAGATGTGTTCGTGGGAGGACAATGTCTCCTCGCGATGGAACAGATGTGTTCGTGGGTCCACCCCAGACTCCGTGCGCGGTTACCCAAAACGTCAGCGTCTCATATGTTATGGTCTGTTTGTCGTGGCAGTCCAGCTTTCAACACCCGTGTTTGACGATCTGATCCGTTTTCACGAATATTGTCGCCCTATACTGGCACAAGTAGTACGCAGAAAAAGGAACGCTTGTACCAGTGCACAATAACACAGACCGTGGCAAGTTATACTTCACCGCTACCGCTATCATCCAGCGACTCCCAAAGTATCGCCGCACTGAAACCTGTCCCGTGGCCGGCGGAAGCACTGTGTGCAGAAAACGGCGGGCAGCTGAGGCTGGTCCGTGGGCCGCCACCTACGCCATCCCATGAGAACGGAAGCGCGCCAGTTAGCGGACGTGGACTCGACGGTGAAAACGCATCCTGTTCAGGGCATTATAGATTTATAGGCAGGCGCCGGCGCTGGCGGAAATCGGCCCATTTGGGCCAGACGTCCTGAGGGCGTCGTGCCTGCATCAGATGCGCGGACCAAACAGGCGGCGTTTGCTCGGGACGGCCGCCCGCCTTCTGGCGACCAGATGAGGTACAATGCCGTGCCTGTAATAATACACCGGTCAAGCAAGCTTTTAAAGCGGGTCGCTAGCCCGGCCACGCGCTTGTGCACGAAATGACCGGAGCTGTGGTAAGCGGCGTGTTGTGAACGAAATGACCGGAGCTGTGGTAAGCGGCGTATTGTGGACGAAATGACCAGAGCTGTGGTGAGCGGCGTGTTGTGGACGAAATGACCGGAGCTATGGTAAGTGGCGTATTGTGGACGAAATGACCGGAGCTGTGGTAAGCGGCGTGTTGTGGACGAAATAACCGGAAGCCTATGGTAAGCGGCGTATTTTGGATTAAGTGACCGGAGCTGTGGTAAGCGGCGTATTGTGGACGAGATGACCGGGAGCTGGTAAGCGGCGTATTGTGGATGAAGTGACCGGAGCTGTGGTAAGCGCCGTGTTGTGGACGAAATGACCGAAAGCTGCGGTAAGCGGCGTATTGTGGGCAAATTGACTGGAGGCTGTGGTAAGCGGCGTATCATGGACGAAATGTCCAGAAGCTGTGGTAAGCGATGGTTGTGGACGGAATGACCGGAAGCTGTCGTAAGCATTGTATTGTGGACGAACTGAGGGAAGCTGCGGTAAGCGTTGCTTGGAAATTTCTGATGGAGTGCTAGTTTCATACCGACTTAGCTCATGCTTGGTAAATGCCTATTGGGTGCAAAATCTAGCGGCTTGGCTCGTGTTGTGATGTTTAGCGCTGGCCAATTCATTCATTACCTGTTGGCCGTAGAGGATACCAGCTGGTTTTGTGTTGCGATGTCGCTATGCTTCGGGCAGTTCATGAAACCGCACTTCACGCAGCTGGTGGAAAGCCATGTAACATTTCGTCTAGTTTCTCGTGTTGTGATGGCTTTGGCTCGTGTTGTGATGTTTAGCGCTGGCCAATTCATTCATTACCTGTTGGCCGTAGAGGATACCAGCTGGTTTTGTGTTGCGATGTCGCTATGCTTCGGGCAGTTCATGAAACCGCACTTCACGCAACTGGTGGAAAGCCATGTAACATTTCGTCTAGTTTCTCGTGTTGTGATGGCTTTGGCTCGTGTTGTGATGTTTAGCGCTGGCCAATTCATTCATTACCTGTTGGCCGTAGAGGATACCAGCTGGTTTTGTGTTGCGATGTCGCTATACTTCGGGCAGTTCATGAAACCGCACTTCACGCAACTGGTGGAAAGCCATGTAACATTTCGTCTAGTTGCGGACCCCGTACTTCACCGAACCAGTCTGACAGGCTGTCACGCTAGCAGCCATTGCGGTTACATTTATTTTCGTTGGAACATTAATTTTGAGCGATTCGTGCGGGTGGCTTGGGGTTAAGAGCTAACGCTAAATAGAGCTTACTACTGTACACCTTCACCTTTGCCCAGAGATGTTCTACAATCCCATGGAGTTTTGGTCCCACATTTAAGCCGGGTAGGGCTGTGGAAGATCGTCTCCTTCCTTATAGTGCTGCATCACAGTTCCTGGCACCCAGTGGCGAGTTGTGTGTGGTTTAGTGTATGGCCTGAAAATTTATGGTTGAAGTATGTTGGTGTATGCCTGGATTTTACCACTTTAATAAGTCACTGGGAGAAGGGAAGTGCCGGTGGGTTTTCTTTCACACCATTTCTGGTTAGTATGTTTCCTTACTTGATATATTTTGAGTGTAAAAAGGGAAAAAGTGAGTGTCTCGCTTGACGCCGTGCAGGCGAATCTTGGCTTCTGAGTGTCAATACCGGTCGGCAGGCCTGAGCTTTGACGTTTCACGGCTAATTTCTAGCTGTTTCAAGTATTTTCGAACCGTCTGTGCTGTTGAGTACCGAATGCTGTGAAATAACAAGTAATTGACCGAAGGGTCATGACAGGTTGTGTCGGTTTGATTATGTTGCGATGATTATAGCGTGGGCTATGTTCATTTTGCTTGTGCTATTGCCATTTCGATTGCATAGAAGTGAGCTTTTCTTTCTGACAGCACCTCAGGCACCTCATTGAGTATCAAGTGCTTGGCATAAGATGATACAGTTGAGGGATCATCTACTGCGAGTTCATGCCTTAGGACACAAGGTCCTGCCGATAACCAGGAACAGCTGACATGATTGTGCAGATGTTCAAGAAATGCATCATGGCTCAGTGAGCATGAAGGCGGACCAAATTTCTTCAAAATATGGGCAAGTAATGTATTGCCAGGCGTGCGTCATTTTGGTCTCGCCGGATAATTTTGTATTGGCCTTAACAATACCACATGGGCATGTCATCCTTTCTTCTCGTTCGGCGAGGATTTGGTACCAAGTGCTCGACCCGGGGCCACAGAAATACGTAGCTTTATGAATAGGGGCGTACTTCTTGTATAGATGAAGCATGATAGCGGTGTGATGGCTTCATGCTGTGTTTGCCCTTACAACTCCAGCTGTGCAGCATTTTCTTACTTGCTTTCTTTTTGCACCTCAACCTACTCTCATTCACGGCACATTGTGTGTGATCAAAAAAGATTCAACAGCTGATCGTTTCATTAAACTATAGGCTTCGATGTTGCCACATTTTCGGACTGGACGATTCTGCCTGGTATACAATCTTGCTTTGGAGAGCAAGTGCGTAAACTACCTTCCACTGGTACCTTTCATCAGGCTAGGAGCGTCCGCTTCACTATGTGTGTGGACATTGCCCGTGCTTGGTGTACCATCATTTAAAGGCTTACCAGCGAGTGTCGATTGTCGAGCTGAACCTTTTCCCAGAGCGCCACTTTTGCCAAGAACTTCGACGTGGGCTTAACTCGCGTGGTGCGGTACCATCATGGTGTTGCCATGCCAGCGACAAGGGCACGAAAGAAATCCACTGTGGATAGACCGTACAGTCGTAGCGGGGTGAAGTGTCGTTTGTGTGTGCTAGGTGACTTGGTCTGTGTTGTAAGCCAAGCATTAGCCGGCTCGGACCGGCGGTAAAGTTTCGTGGAAAACGACTTTGCCGCTACGAAAATGAGCTGCGTTTTGCAGGGTCAACTACGGTGGGCAATTCTCAACAAATGGACACTCCGATTGCGTGTATGGCCTTGCTGTGGTCGTTGTGGAGAGAAAGTTCGAAACAATTCAGTTCCACAAACAGAAGTGCAGAGGCAAATTGGAGCCGCGTGTTCGCAATCCATAACTATTTTCGGTATAGCACGGTTTAGCCTCTAAACAGTATATTGAAACCCAGATCATGCATACTAAGTACAGCCATCGACGATTTCACCGCCGTAGTCAACGTTTTTCATTTCATCGACCGAAGTCACGTGGGCTCGTGACGTCATCGTTTGACCGCAGTGTTGGCTTGGGAGCTGCGCCAAGAGGTATGCAGGAGCTGTCTGATTAGACAGGAGTTGATGCCGTCGGTAGAATAAGCGGCCCCATGTTCGCAGAGGGGATGACAGAGGTCTGATCGAAAACAAAGGTCACGGCGAAGATTCATTTGTATCTTACCTCACCCTCCATGAAATCCTTACGTTGTTGGGATATCCTCTCATTCATGACAGGCCTCTCGCAGCACGGTCAGCGTTGACCATAGCCTGGCGTTTAAAAGCTGCGATCCTGTCTCTATTATTACACTGCGTTGGACATGGCAGGAGCTATTGGCAGTGTCAGTGCTGCTGAGCATTTGCACCAGACGCTGCCGGCCCTGCTACCCGCTCTAGCAGCGCCAGCCCTGCTTTGGGAAAGCCTCGGGGGGGGGGGGGGGGGGGGGGAGTCACACCACAGTACGGCGTATAATGCGCCTGAATCGCTCCGATTCAGTACATGACCGTAATAGCTATGTCTTCAGTCTGCGGCGTGCACCGGCCATGTCTCATTTGGTCATATTTCCGCTGACGGTCTTCGTTGGTAGCTCCGCAAATCTGCCTAGCTCGGGTTGGTAAGGACGCGGAAATTTTGCCGAAATAGGCAGGTCATGGGTCTGGCACACTTATTACGCATCCAGTATACCGTGTGATCGCATTCCGCGTATCGTGCGACTGCTGCCATTGTCTGCCCACGGGGATGGAGCCATGAGGTCAGCCGGTGACCTCGGCCCCTGAGCCTGCGGGTCGACCGGAGCCGGCCGGTGCGGGTGCAGTGAGTGTGAAGCCCCGGCGCGCGGCGGCCCTGGTCAGGATGCGCTCTGTCAAACACCACTCGTGGCTTCGTTGTGGCTACTGTGGTTTAAGGGCGCATCAACCGCATTGGTGATTTGCGTGCACTCGTGGCTTCCGCTGTCATGCGAGGTTCCCGGCGTTCGTTCGCGTTGCCGACCTCGCGCTGTTGCGTGCACGTGAGATGGCCGACGGCAGCTGGCGGCGTTGCCCGGACGGCGAGTTGATGCTGCAGCAGGACCCGGCATTTCTCGGTGACCGAATCGGTTGTCCAGCGTCCGTGTCCGCCCTCGGGCTACGTGATCGCCCAGCCAGTCAACGGGACTGTGTCTGTGTCAAAGGCCACGGCCGGGAGCCGCGGCCGCCCCTCACTGGGGATGGCGCTTCATGGTGCCGACGGGATTGGACAGAGACCCGATTACCGGCCGGGCGCCCACGCGCGCGCTGGGTGCCGGCGCCGGCAGCCGCCTCCGCCGCATCCAGCCGCCCCCAGCCGCGACGCCCCCGCGGCCGGCGCGCCCACCTCGGCCCGCCGGCGTCCGGTCCCGTCTCAGTCCAGGTGGAAGCCGGGGAGCATGCTGCGCCGTCGCCGCGCGTTCTCGCCGTGGCCTCCGGCTCAGAGAGGTCACAGTACACATGCACTGCTGCCACACAGCATAGGTGTGCTCTGATGTTGGGTGGGCCCTGGTGCGACGTCTCTGTGCCATGGTAGCGGGACGTGCCTCTTTCACATGTGGGCAGGGTGCTCGCTGACGCAGCGAGCCGCAGCAGATCGTATATGTCAGCTGTGGGCCGATGTCGCGCGCCCTGCTGTGGTTCTGTCGGGTGTGGCCCTGACATGTCATGGCCTGCCTTTGTTTGGCAGGTCGGCCATGCTGCGGACGATGCTGGATGACCTGGCGGCTCAGCACGGCGTGCAGCCGGACGCCCAGACGCGCTGCCTGACGACCGGCGTACGAGCCAAAGTCTACACCCCGCTGCTGCGCCGGCCCACCTGCGGTACGCTCCCCTCCCCCCCCCCTTCTCCCATCCCCACCATCCCCCGCTCGTGCAGCCTGACGTCCAGACCCGCCGCCTGACGACCGGTGCACGTGCCAGAGTCTACACCCCGCTGCTGCGCCGGCCCGCCTGCGGTACGCTCCCCCCCCCCCCCCCATTCTCCATCCCCACCATCCCCCGCTCGTGCAGCCTGACGTCCAGACCCGCCGCCTGACGACCGGTACACGAGCCAGAGTCCACACCCCGCTGCTGCGCCGGCCCACCTGCGGTACGCTCCCCTCCCCCCCCCCCCTTCTCCCATCCCCACCATCCCCCGCTCGTGCAGCCTGACGTCCAGACGCGCCGCCTGACGACCGGTACACGAGCCAGAGTCTACACCCCGCTGCTGCGCCGGCCCGCCTGCGGTACGCCCCCCCCCCCCCCTCCCATCCCCCATCCTCCGCTCATCAGTCACGTGTTGGATGGCGGTCAGACGGACTGGTATTGGTTGCCATGGGAAGTTTTCGGCCCTAGCGGGCGTGTGCGCCTTCCGAGAGTGTGAAGTTCATGGTCTGTTTGCTCGCACGGGCGCGTTTTACACTGGCCGGACACGTGTCAAAAACAGATGACAAGAAAAAGTTTTGGGTGTAATATACCTGAGAGCGCTCACCTTAGAATCCAGGATGGCCTGTTGGCCGTTATCTAAAGCTCACAGATGAGGCAGTAGTAATAGCCTTATTCGTCGGAGAAAAAACAGGTGAATGAAGGTATAGGCTGCGATCCGGCTATATCTTCTTTCTCTTGGTCTTTCTCCAAGGAATAAGGCTATGCTTATGGTCTCATCTATGTGCGTAATGTTCCTCGCAAATGTACTGGACAACTTGCGCTATCCAAAGCCCGTTCACACTTAGCAGACGGGCTACGGAATATGTGGCGGATATCGTATGGGACGGCTGGTGTGGATAAGAGACATTACTTTTAAATCCGCAGGTTCGCAAAGGACCTCAAAAGTAGTTCTTCAAGTCCCCAACATCTCACTACTGCAGAATTTGAGCTGTGTATTATCCAGACGCTAGCTGTGGCGGGCTAGAGGTGCCGCTTTGGAGCTCTATTTACCTGCGCTTTCTGCCTCTTGAGAAGTTGACACATCAAGCAAAAGTATGACGTAGACAGCCGCGCGTCCGACGAGCGTAAAAAAGCACTCGTGAGAGCAGGTTGTTACAATACAGGTCATTACGCTATGCGCATGTGCTGCACGTTGGGTATTTTTATAAATATGTTTCATTTCTTGTTAGATGTACGCAATCATACTGCTAGTCACACACGCTCTCCACGTGCACGGCAGAGGTATCATTTTGTGGCACCCTTTCGAGACGGCGTTGACCACATGCTTGCGCTCCGGCTCCCCAGGTGGCACGCCGTGGGTTTACACTGTTGTAATGACGTCATCCGCGGTGGGCGAGCTCATTATTATATAGCACCATTTGGTCTCACTTTGACATTTGTTCCAACCAGTTTGGAAACGTTTTCCCCGCAGGCTGTAATAATCATGCAGTGTTTGGCCTTCATGCGGTTTTGACCTTAACACAGCGTCGTTGGGGGCGAATCCCACCCGTTGGTGTCTTCACTGTAGCAATGCTTTAGTCCATGACTTGACGGCTAAAAATAGAGCACATGAGCGACAATATGTTAACCCGCGCATGGCCGAGGTTGAGGCTGAGTCCCCCCCCCCCCCAACGTTTGTTTTCGGGCAAAGGTCAGAAACAAACACTCGCAGCGACACGAAATTTGCATTGCCTGTCATCGCGTGAATTTGGCATCCATTGAACGAGTATCAAAATTTGATATACCAAGATCAGTGACCTAGGTCGGGTCAAAGAGGTCGACTTCCAAAAAACTTGGACCACACAACTTTTCTGTAGGTTATTTGCCGTTGTTTAAACTTGGCGTCATAATGGAACATGATAGTACGTGCAAGTTGTTTGTTCCAGGGTCTCCGGAAAATTCGGTGTCATTGGCCGGAATTCGGTAAATTTTTGCCTTTTGTGATGCAAAGCTGCAATAATATAAGTGATAATGCAAGTCTGTACATATTTTTGTGTGGTGTTTGGTGTTATATGTGATGAAAATATTATCAAATTATATGTACAAACCATTACACACAACACATAACCATCATATAACCACAGAGCTCATGACCTGGGCCCAGGTCATGACCCATTTGCATGGGTACCTTCTGCAAGGTACATACTGATTTCAAAATAGGCAGTTTTAATTCAGTGATTTTGGGCACAGAATTCGGATACATAACTTAATTTTTTTAGATATAATTGTAAGGCTTGATGAGGTCACAATAGCTCATACAAGACCATATGAGGTCATCCAAGGTCAATGACCTATGTTGCCAATAGCAGAGAGACTAGATGAACGAGTGTGACGCTTGAAATCACCTCCTTGACGTGTTTGTAAAGCTAATGACGTCATATGTCGTGCACCAACGTACCTGTTTTCGATTTGTTACGAATACATTGACAAGCGTCGAAGGGACTACGTATAATGGAGACAACAGCTATACGATCTTGATTGCCTATATATGTTCAATACACTATTTCTGATCCCAGAAAGTGTTGCACTGGCCACATACACCCGGTTAGCACTTCAAAAATTTTCATCTGGAAGGTTTATACATTTTGCCTAAGCTGACCTCAGATGACACCTAAGTCGCCCTGAACTTGAATTTTTGTGTTTGAAATGCTTCTACCCTCAGCTTCATTTAATAATGACAACGTAGTCAGAAGCACAGTTCTTGCGGGCTCCTGGTAGGTCAGTTTTGAACGGTAACATGATCTGACCGTATCCTTGTGGGGAACAGAAATGGCCGGCATGGACTTTCCGCAGTCCTGACGCTTACTTCTTCGTCGTCAATAAGCGTCTTGACGTGTTAACGCATGTTTTAACTGCATTGATCACGACGATCGTCGTCGATCGACCTCCCGTGGTCTCTGGTTACCACACATTTGATCTGAGATGAAAAATTTGGGGGAATTATTTATGATTTCACTAGACCTTCGAAACAATGTCTTTGTTTTTCATGCGGCGTCTTGGAGTTGGAGATCCCAGGTGAGAAGTTAACTATCGTCTCGGCCGGGCGCCACGGTCTCAGGCCCCCCCCCCCCCCACCGGGCGTGGGTCAAGTGCTTCTTGGGGCTGAAAGCAGCTTGGTAAAATCAGATTCGTCTGCTTGTTGTAGAACAAGGCGAGATGTTAAAGTGGCGTGATAGTACCAATGATTTTTTCGAGGAAATATCCTTTTTTCCTTTGTCAGAGTTGTTAATTGAACGAAATATATCAAAGTGCCGAGATTTTAGCGATGACAAAGGCTTTGTAGAAAATGTTTTAGACACGTCATAAGTCGGAAAGTGAATACTTAGGGAACGTAGTTCGCTGAAGTACCCGTTTCAGCCCTACCGGTTTCTTTAAAGGAGTGTCCCATCCGCGGGGCGTACATCGAAATCATACGCTGGTGAAACCTCAGGACTAGTTACGTCTGATAATGACACTGAGTATTGCCACTGCAGATCGTCAACACACGATACAAATGCGTTTTTTTGTGTTGTTTTCCGAGTCCAAATAACGCTGTTCTCGCTCTGTTACAGCATTGCGTAGTGCTACTAGGCAATGCTGCAGTCGTGACCACCTTCGTCATGACAATCACCGCGCGCTTCTGGTGCGAATAAAGGAGCGTTCGTGATTGGCCCAGCGGGCAACGTTCTCTTGCCGGGGAGTTTGTTGTCTGAAGTTTGAACCACTGAGTCACATTGATCATGTGATACTCTCAAACACGAGGCCGAAGTGCGACGCGAAAGTAGCCACTGTGGTTAACGCCATATATATATTTGATATATTTATATATATATATATATATATATATATATATATATATATATATTTGATATATATATATTTGATATATATATATATATATATATATATATATATTGATATCATGCTACCATGTATCGTCATATAAATGCCGTATAACGTTTCATTGAATTCGCGAGATAATGGCTTCGTGTTTGCATATTTTTGCCTAAACATTGATTCAAACTTTCGTAGCATTTATTCGACTAACTTTTTTACTTATTCGCGTTTTGCAAACATTGCAGAGCACATATTGAAAAAGCAGGGCTGATGAAATGTGTTTCTTTTATCGTGGTGAGTCCATGGTAACAATAAGTGAAAGGTGCGGAAAGCGGGATACTCCCTGTACCGTTTTTTCTGACGTCAGGAAGTGTTTTTCGACGATTTCCTGACGTCAGGAAATATTACAGTACCGCATTTTGAAGGTCTTCTAAAGACCTTGTGGTGTTCGAAAACTGTGTTTTCAGTCAGAAGAGTATTAGGTGTGGTGCCAATGTGTGCAGATGTGTCTTAGCATGTGCTCGGGCGGAGGTCAATATAACGACCCTAAAGGCACTGCCCCACATTTTTTAAATAGGTTTTCGATCTGAGATAGCCATTTTTAAGATCAATCCCTGCAGTTCACAGCTGTGCCTTCCATAAGATTTCAGATCCTCTCGTTTCTGAGCTGGACGGATGCGAACTCTTGCAGGTTATTTCGTGCCGCCTAATTTAAAGTCGCCCGGACATGTATGACGTCATAGAAACGTCAAACGAATTTTGCATCTTCAATAGCCACATTATGTCCAAGGTCAAGAAAAACATGACCATTGACTTATTGTGTCTGAAGCACACCACTACAAGTTTTGTGCATCAACGGCCACCAGTTGACTTTCAACCAGATGAACGCGTCAAATGCAAGTTTTGACCACGAACAGCGTTTGTGATGCATATTACAGACATTCAGGCAGTTCTACTAGTTGTGAAGAACATGAGGATGTGGATCAAATTACTTGAGAATAGCGTCGTAACCCAGAATGCAACTGCAACTATAAAAATTACATTTTGAGCAACATATTTACTACGTGTTGAAATGATCTAGAGTAGCCGTTTGAACTTGAACGTTTGAACTTTGAACTCACGCATAAATTGACAAGCCACCTTGCGATGAGCTGAGTGCTTTGAGTTTGCCGGTCCTTTACAATGGCAATTCCGATGTGACCAGTCTAGCAGCGGCTCTGTCGCGGCACAAATGTTTCATGACGAAATCAAACGATGACGCACTGAGCGATATTTTAACTGTATAGTGAAATTGTGTTATCTGGAGCAGTTGTTTGAAGTTAAAAGTATTCCAATACGCGGAAATATCTTCACATGCGAAACATCCCCATAGAGATTTTCCAAATCAAGTTAAGAACGGCGCGGCCTAACGATCCCAAACTTTGAAAAGCTCCAGAGAGTTGAATAGCCGATCTTTTGGTACCACAATAGATATACCGCTTCCAATCCGGTGTGACAATCGAGCGTAGGATTTATCCTACTGCTGCCATCGAAATGCCTGTATGTAGTGAGTGTTTGGTGCTATCTTGTCGCCTCACGGGACTTTTCAGCGAAGGCATCAGCAGTAAGTGTGGTTGCTCGTGCTGAGAACTCCACGAGCGCCTTACATAGCTTCCCTTTTGTGTATTATCTCCTTTCATTCGATGTTTGCAGCCTTTCATTCGATTCATTCGATGTTAGAAACGTCGCAGGGGAGGTACCCGGACATGGGGCAGTTTTACCTGCTGTGCGCGGCCTCACGATAGCACGTATGTACAGTACCATCCAGTAGCATTCGTGATGGGTAGTCATGTTAAACTTTCACTCCTCTGCTGTGGAGAAATGCGACAATGTATCAGCAATGCAACAAAGTTGCAGTGCTGATAATTGGTGTAACGGTGGTGTAAAGAAGCAGTTGAGTTGCTTTACAACGACGAATGAAATTGTCAACGGTAGCCAGTACAGCCGCGAGACATCACGTTCCCTCCCTCCGCGAAAACCCGCACGGCGCATGTGCCCTTCGAGAGAAGCGTGATGCAGTTGGTAGCCAAACTTGACCTGGCAGTTAGGGATTCTCCCGGATCTACACCGGACGGAGATGTGATCAGGGTTCTCCGCCCTTAGCCAATCGGCTTATGCAAGGTGCTGTGAACCGAGTATCTGCATTCACGGCGTTCGCTTGACCGATGTGCGCCATGGCATGCCGCAAAGGTGCTGCCCGTACCGCCCCCGGGAAGCCATATGGGTCATATTGCACACGGCTCCTACGCCTTTATCAGCTGGCAACTCATTGGATCCCGAAGCGAGTGACGCAATCCTCAAGAAGTCGAGGAGTAGCTGGAAATTATAGCGGCACATTTCTCCAATCTTGACTTGTGATGCTTTTCGGGTGATGACGATCAGTCAGAAGGGAGCTCGCCAAGCGCGTTTCTTCAGACCCGTTCTTTATTTGTGTGTGTGCTATTCCGCAAAGGTTTCGAGTCGATCCGCAACGAGGAAGCACTGACTGACCGTCAGGATGTATTTCCACGAGACAGCACGCGGCTATACGCGCTTGAGAGAAGCTAGATGTACTGTACGTCAGGTCGGCACAAACCACCTTAAACACATGCTACGCCGCGCTGGGGCAAGCTCGCTAGCCAGGTCTGGATGGTGGGGTGGTGGCCGAGCGAGACGGCTGGCCTCAGTCTGGTCCTGGGACGTGCCGGGCGGCTGGATCCGTCGACTGACTGACCGTGCTGCTGGGTCCGGAGACTAAGCCCGACTGCGCTGCTGGGCCCGGTAACTGACACCGGCCGCCCTGCGGGGCCCGGCGACTGACCCGGCCGCGCTGCCGGGCCCGGCGACTGACCCTGGCTGCGCTCCGCTCTCGCCCGCAGACAGCCTGGAGCAGCGGCTCGGCCACTACGTCAAGCGCCGCAAGCTGGACCCGTCCGTGCTGGAGGCGGCCGGCGGCGGCAGCGCGGCTGCGGCGCACACCGCCGGCGCCGAGCGGCCGCAGCACGCTGGTGCTGCCGAGACGTATACTGGTGCCACGTAATACACAGACGGAACAGGACCTAGTGGTTTTTGTGGAAGGTGCTGCATAGAAAAGGAGAAGAGAGAGAGAGAGAGAGGAGAGGAGAGAGAGAGAGAGAGATGAGAGAGAGAGAGAGAGAGAGCCAGAGCCAGAGCAGAGCCAGAGCCAGAGCCAGAGCCAGGAGCCAGAGATCCAGAGCCAGATCCGAGCCCAGAGCCAGAGCCCAGAGCCAGAGCCCCAGAGCCAGAGCCAGAGCCAGAGCCAGAGGCAGAGCCAGAGCCAGCGCCGAGCCAGAGGGTCCCGAGCAGGGCCAGGCCGGGCAGGGGCCAGGGCCAGGGCCAGGGCCAGGGCCCAGGTGCCAGGGCCAGGGCCAGGGCCAGGGGCCAGAGCCAGAGCCAGAGCCAGAGCCCAGAGCCAGAGCCAGAGCCAGAGCCCGAGCCAGAGCCAGAGCCAGAAGGCCAGAGCCAGAGCCCAGAGCCAGAGCCAGAGGCCAGAGCCAGAGCCAGAGCCAGAGCCAGAGCCGAGCCAGCCAGAGCAGAGCCCAGAGACAGGAGACATGAGACAGAGACAGAGACCAGAGCAGAACAGAGACAGAGACAGAGACAGAGACAGAGACAGAGACAGAGACAGAGACAGAGACAGAGACAGAGACAGAGACAGAGACAGAGACAGAGACAGAGACAGAGACAGAGACAGAGACAGAGACAGAGACAGAGACAGAGACAGAGACAGAGACAGAGACACACACACACACACACACACACACACACACACACACACACACACACACACACACACACACACACACACACACACACACACACACACACACACCGTTCGGCGTTATCTTTGCGCCGTTAATGCAAAACGGGGGTCTTGTACCGCCAGCTATATTATTAGTGTGAGACCCAGGGGAGACAACGGTTTTATCATTGGGGGTGTGCTCAGGGCTGTGAATCCGGAGGTGTCTGAGTCAGGGGCGAATCCACGTGGCAGGGGAGGGGGAGGGGGGGGGGGGCACAGGGAGCACGTGCTCCCTGATTGGTCATGCTTTCACTATTGTAAAAAGAAGTTAATTTACGTGCATCATGTTGTCTTCGAAAGGACGGCGAGAGTGTTCCCTCGGTCAGCTTCTCTTGTACCTTGAACTTCCCTTGATCCTTGATTTTGCCCTGATCCCTGATCCTTTCTTGATCCTTGATATCCTTGATCTTCTTGATTGATGATCCCTTGATCAGATTCCTTGGCCTTGATCCTTTGTTTCGATACTTCGCTTTCCCAACGAAAATTATTTAGTTTGTCCAAGGCGTTTTCAGGGTATTGCCAATTCCTCATCAAAGTCGCCCTCTCCAGTCACAGCCAACGCAGAACGACAGTTACTTGCGCATTGGTTGTTTTGGCTCATTGAACGTGGGTCTCCGGAGTACTGTTGCGCCGCAGAAATATGCATGATGTGTTTGCATGATGCATGATGTTTGCATGATGCATGATATGTTTGCCGAGTTGCCCATGTCCATGCATACAGCTTTTCATAAACATTTGTGGCGGTTCATTAGATGGATCTGACGGCTCACTAAAAACATTCCGTACCGATAGGAGAATGTCTCGCTGTGTGGTGTAAACGACTTCAAGTCATATGACTCCCAGCAACTTCCTCTAGTCCGATAAATAACCTTCCATTTGTCAAAAAGACACGCGCCGGATGTGGTCCAGGTTGAATTCCACTCATTTCCAAGTCCAGCATTCAAAAATCAACGGCACTGCCTTAGAATTCCAGGTCATGATTCAGTGATCGCTCGTTATATGTTCCGGTTGACCGCATCGGAGGTCTGTTCCTGAGACCGGCCATTGCAGTTACACTCAAGTAGGGTTGAGCATCAGTTGCGCCGGGAGACGGCCCCGCCTTATAGGATTGGACTCCTTGTAAAAAGCAGCAGCAGTCGAAGGTTTACACCATGTTTTCCTTTATTAGGGCTCTGATGTCTTGATGAGCTGTAGTGAAGTGTTGAATTGGACATTCCTTTCTCTCATGGACCAGTTTTAGGTCAGCCTCAGGTTCCCCCTCCCCACGGAAGATTTGAAACCCCTAATTGTTCAAGCTTGACGGGTTCGGAGTCTCAAAATCAAATGAGGCGCACCGGAAACGTCTTACGTCAAACTCCATCCGTGGATTAAGATGGACTCAGATTCTTTGTGAGTCTGGGCCCGAGTGGCCCCATCTTGTTCGCGCCCCTGCATGCAAGGCTGGTGCTAACTTCCTGTGGTGATGCATACAAATTTGCAAGCATTTAATGCGGCTTCCAGGGTGACCATCAGCAATCTAGGCACCGTGAGGGTCTGCTAGGGACTTAACGTACGAACCTGTGCCATCAGCAGCGGCTTGTAAATAATTCCCTTAAGTGTCTGATCTCATCTGCCGATTCCGATGAAACGCGCGTTTTCAAGTCACCGCACTGTAAACCGCCTGGTCAATACTGCGCCGCAATGCGGCACAGTACAGCGTGTTGGGCTCGAACAGGCGACCCAGACCGTGCCGGGTCACTTCATGTGATGATGCACCGAGACTGCCGTTATATCAGGCAGGCTGCTAGAAGACTTGATCGTTGTACACCAAAAACGCATAACGTGGAAATATACGTGCGTTGATGCATGCATGCGCCATGAACGCGTGCGCCATGTGTTACGCAAGTGTTGTGTAACACATGTTATGTGTTACACATTGAGACATCTACACATTCCTACATGTGTCGATGTACGCATGAATAAATGTCGACAATGGCAAACTGTAGGCAGACACGTAAAACTTAACAGACCAATAACATGTGATGCTGTTTTGCACTGCATAAAAAGTTTCGCGTGCTCACGGCGCGCCAACTTGGGTTTTCAGTGACAATTTTGAGGTTTCCTCTCCCCCCCCACACGATCGCAAAATCTCTCATACCTACGTCCATCCCGTTACCCATTACGGCCTGTAGAGGTCCCATTCTGACCCACAGTGGGCCAATTATTGCCTGTAGAGTGATAATTATGGCCCGTAGAGGGTTCATTCTGTCCAGAACAGGCCCTTACTGATTGTGAACGGCCCATTCTGGGCTGGAGAACACCGATTTCCGCCTCTATAGGGCCGTTATTGACATTCAAGTCTTTACTTGGAATGCAAAAAAATACGACTTTGGTACTGTGTGCGGTACGTAAATAGCCCTTTGAACTTATAACTGATACCAATCAACTGTAGATGTGAAGAAAAAATAGCGCTGCGCAGCATTATGTGACCAGGGGATCGACCAGGATATCTTAATGGGACCCGGTTGCAGCTTCCCTAATGGGAACTGCGGGCGCAGTACCAGGGAAAAAACCTTAGTCAAGCAGGAGTGGCGTAACGTAAGGGTGACATGACGTGAGACGTCACTTTCACTCTTTCAAGCGAGAGTGACGCCTTAGTTGGGGCTGGGAGAGCGAGAGGGTTGAGAGAGAGCCTGTCATGCTTGGCTACGTCCGTGACTGGCTACGCCCTGGATTCTGCAAAGGGTCGGGCAAAATTTGGAACCCTAGAGATCTGTAACGGGCCCATCCGGGTTTGTGGGAGCCAACTATCTAATCTTTGGGGGCCCTACTGTCTAATCTTAGAGAGCCCATTTTGGCATTTGTGAGTTTCGCCCCCCCCCCCCCCCCATCAACCTGAACGTAGTTACCGCGCTCCGCTCCCGTTGTGGGCACCGCGATACCTTGAAAAGCTGGCTTGTACTTTCGGAGCATGCCTACAAATCCATGACAATCCCGTTGTGAAATTTACCGGCTAGTACTTTCTCAGGTTAAGTGTAATGAGTTGAGCTAAACTGCACATTTGCTAAACTCGTCGATCCGCTGCGCCGCACCGCAAAAGGCCAGCTGGATGGCATCAGATTGCACTCAAAACCGACGTCCGTGAACCGTTATACTTGTCGGTGCAGTTAAGCGCACCGCGGGCTTCGTCGACTGAGGCACGGTCTCGGCTTCTCCGTATCCGCCAGAGAACTTCCGGTCTGACTTCCACGCGAGCTGTGCGTGGGGATGCAAGTTTTCAGAACCTCATGCATGGGCTTCTGACACTGCCGGCTGCCGTTTGCCGGGGAGCTTCGCAGCGCGTCCAACAGATGGCTCTGATCACGCGTGAAGCCCTCGAACAGCAGAAATGTGCACCGTTCTTCGGAAGATAACGCTCTGGAATATGCCACAGTTCGGCGTCCAACACATGACGTTCATTTAAGTTCAATCACAAAGACTGTAAATGGTGACGGGGCTTAGGAATCGGGGAGAGTGCGGTCAAGTTTGTACAAAACTAACACCAGGAACATCAGGCGGGGGTCTGTCAACACATGCCATTGCACGAAGCTAGGCGAAATAAGGCCGCACTGGCACGCTTCCTGCCACGCTGTCCAAGGCAAATGGACGAACAAAAAGCAACCGCGCTCGCGCCCTCTCAACTCGCACCCCGCTCTCCAACGTGTCCCACGACTGCTCAGGGACAAACGTGCCACTGATGCACACCCTCAGCGTGCGTCAAACCTTGCCTCCCAATTTGGTACGTGTCTCAAACTATCGGCTAATGGGTGCATCATATTTGGGTCTCCCTCGCCATGTACTATGAAGAGCTCGAGAACTTCTCGTGCTTCCGAACGCTACCGCGTCCCTCTTGTGTCCCGCATCCGTGTTTTCAACTTCATATCGCCAGCATCCCAGCTGGGTGTTGATTTGAAAGAATTTAGCCATATGTCTAATATGCCCTCCACAACCGACGATTTTTAAAACGTTTCGCTTCTGACTCTATGGCTTCGACGGCTGGTGTCGATACCAGCCGATCCTTGCCATTCAAGAGTGCAGCTTTGTTCCCCGCACGAGCATTTGAGCGAAGCCAGAAGCACTATATCGACGCGAGCCGGGTAAGGATCCGGGTAAGGCCCCGCCTCACAGCCCGAAGACGCTCGAGACACCTTATCATGCGCTTAACATGATGAGGCGCCCTGCGAGCTGACACACGTGGCGTGCGCTAAGTCGGCTTGGTCGTGGTCGTCGCCCACGTCCTCTTACCGATAACTCTCCTTGTTCCTAAGGCTCCGAAATGGTCCGACGACGTTACAGAATATTTAAGCGATGCAGATGAATGTTCCAGTGCGTAGCGCAGTTCGGTGTTTTGAATTTGGTAACGCCTTACGGCACGCAGCCTTACACATACGGAACGGGACGTCAGTATTGATCGTTACACATCCGGTGCCGCGGGTCGCCTTTTCCGCTAAATTGGTCCGCCGACCGGGAAGCCGGAGCCTGACATTTGGGAGCCATATGCCTCTCGCGAATGACCGTGGCAGGTCAACGCCAACGCATACATGAAGAAGATGAACTCGACCCAGACAACTTGAGAAATCGTGACTGAACGGGCAGTGGTAAAGCTTGCGTGTGCTGCTGGAAATAGACGGATCGGTGGTCGTGCGGTACATCAGCTACCGAGAACTGTCGGAGACAGACAGAGCGGTGGTCATGCGGCACGCTAGCTACCGAGAACTGTCAGGGATAGACAGAGCGGTGTTCGTGCAGCACACCAGCTACCGAGAGCTGCCGGAGATAGACAGAGCGGTGGTCGTGAGGCACACTACCTACCGAGAACTGTCGGAGATAGACAGAACGGTAGTCGTGCGGCACACCAGCTACCGAGAGCTGTCGGAGATAGACAGAGCGGTGGTCGTGCGGCACACCAGCTACCGAGAGCTGTCGGGGATAGACAGAGCGATGGTCGTGCGGCACACCAGCTACCGAGAACTGTCGGAGATAGACAGAGCGGTAGTCGTGCGGCACACCAGCTACCGAGAACTGTCGGAGATAGACAGAGCGGTGGTCGTGCGGCACACCAGCTACCGAGAACTGTCGGAGATAGACAGAGCGGTGGTCGTGCGGCACACCAGCAAGCAAGAACTGTCTGAGCCGTCACGGGTGTTTTTCTATCATTGTATGGAAACATCTGCTGCTGCAAACAAACATCTGCAAACAAACTGAATTGGACCCACCGCTCTACTATTGTTGAGCTTTACATAACGTGTCAGTTAAAAGCTGCCGCATTCCCTTTTAGTTTTTATAGCATCCTGCTTGCCTTTCCACCGTTTGCTCTGTTCAGTGCAGTTCGTCCTCCAATCTTGACTCAAACATGGCACGAACATGGGTATGACAAACCACGGTAGTACTAGCCCGGTACTAAGGAAACTGAAAGTTCGCCTACAATGACATCAACGTGGAGGACGATGGCGAGAAATATCATAAGCATGAGAAGTGTTTCCTGATGTTTACAGATAGCCTGCGACTGGCTCGGTTCATCACAAGCATACACTGGCAATGAAAGGGCAGGACTCGTTTGCACCGGACATCACTCTAAAAGGTGCATCTTTCTTGGCCAAATCATATAGTGTGGTACAAGAATATGTCAACTACACACCAGTATTCATTTTGATTCCATTTCATATATCAAAAAATTGATTAATGCACTATTTCACGCAGCACTTTTCTGCTTCCAGCTTGATGGTGACCGTAGGCGTACTTTCTCAGTCTGAAGTTCCCAGTGCATTTGCGGCATGCGCTGCAGCGTGCCACCGGCGCATCAGACGGCTGGGGAGGCGTAAATTACGCCCCGAGGTCTCATTCGCCAGATCTCCGCCGCAGCGACCTGTTTTGAAAGACCTTTTTGAACAACATCGTTACAGAAATGATAAATAATTGGTATGACCGGAGCGCGCCCACCAAGCCGCGTGTCTTCTGTGGGCGCGGTTACGCGGTGACCCTCTGGACCTACTGTCCTCAGCCGGCGGGGTCACGCGGTGACCTTTGGAGTATTTCCATCCCGGGC